TTTCTGCCATTGTGAATAAAAATTTTAAATACTTATTTTCATTTCCAAAATGTCTGTTTCTTGTAAAGAATTCTTTGTAAAGCAAATCAACTGAAACCAAACTTCTGTAACATCAGAGGAGAATCTGGTGAAGTTTGGTTAGGTGATATTACGTTTTAGGAAAATATGTAACCACAAATAACTTTTGTAGATATGATTGCTCTGAATTTTGGATCCCAGTCCAAGGGACTTGGGGTCATTGAATTGAATGTCAAATCTGGAACAAGTCTGATGTTGGACTTCTGAAATGTTATTTTGAAAGAAATTATTAGTTAATGGAAGAGTTAATCTGGCACTCTGACAGCTTGAGGTGGTTTGCAAAACTAAAACTGTATAATTAAAATGAAAATTTTTATTTGAAGGTTGGACTTGATGATCTTGGATTGTGTTTTCCAACTGTAGTGATTCTATAATAAATTGCTAGTCTGAATAAAATGCATTTGTAAATATTAACCAAAATGTGATTTAAGATATAGTTTTTCCATACATCTTATTTCTTCAAGTTGATTTCTGTCAAAGTCAATGAGAAGACTTGTGCAATTGGTGCTAATCTTGTTTACTTACATAGCCAGTAGCTTCAATATGAGACATTCTATAAATTCAGGTAAATTTGAGAAACTTCCTTATCGTTATTGGTTTCTAATAACCAGCAACACTATGAAATTACTTGATGGTGGTGGCTGGTTATGTATTTTTAAGTTGTTTTTTTCTGTGGCCTTGCATTCATTGCATGAATGCCTCATGGACGTTAATGAGTTTTGCTCAGTGAGTTGAAGATGTCCCCCGAGGAAACCACTAAAATAAAGAACCAAAATTGATTTATGCTGAAACTGAAACATTGATTTCTTTTTCAGACTGAATATGCACATGAAACAAGGTGTACTCACGGTGCTCATTTTAGAGGCTTGACATGGGATTGTGTGTGGGGGCAGAGAAGGTTAGTTGGGGTGTAGCTGAAGAGCCCCCGGGCTGCGTGCAGCTCACAGATTCACTGCCAAGTGTGCTCATAAATAACTCTGGCCAGGGGTGCTGGCCCCTGGGTGCATTTCAGTGGGTGCAAACCCAGTGTCCAGTTACCAGGCCCATGTCCGATGTCCTGCAGAGTCCGGTTTCAAGAACGCGCTGGGGACGCTTCAGAGCATGTAACAAACGTTATTTTTACTGCAGGCAGAGAAGTTAACTCTAGAAATAGTAAAAGCTCTATTTCCGTAGTGATGCAAAGGCATCGTTTCAACTGTTTTGATATAAACTGCGCGTTTTGCTGTGTGTGTTCAGAGTTAAATCCAGTTGCTCCCGTGCTCTCACAGGTTTCTAGGCTCGGGTTTGTCTGTGTGGGTGTGGGACCTCGGGGGCACAGGGGGTGGAGGGGCAGCACCTCCAAATCCCTCTGCTGGTGGAGCTCGACCCTGCAGCTCTGGGCTGTAGAGAAACTCTGCTATTAAAATCATGTTTTGCCTTAGCTGGAAGATCTGGAGGGGATTTGTTCTCTGAAATTATGACGTGGGACCTGAGGAAAAAAAGGTTAACAAGACCCATAGCAAATTGTGAGAGGAAAGGAGGGTCAGGGTAAGGGTCGCCTCTCATTTAATGAAAATAGCAAACCTTTGGCTTATAAACAAATAGTAATACTTAGAGTCTCCCCGGACTGGTTAGGAACCTGATTTTTTTCCTAGTTAAAAAACTCAGATGTATAGCCAACCTTTTCCTCTTCTGCTTTCTCCTATTACTCCTCTTTTCTTATGTAGATTGAATTAATTTTTGAGTGAAAAAACATACAGTGTTTTTTGAGAAATTGCAAACAGAAATAAACAATAATTAATGCAATTTAAAGTATTAACAACATGGTCTCCTCTTTATCATTGGCCTGGTAGCTCAGTTTTGAACCCAGGACTGACTGTCTGGCTAAAATGCATCTTCCAGGAAATAGTTTTTTCTTCATTGGAACTGTTTGAATTTCTTTGACACAAAACCCTGGCTAAAGTCAGCTTTGCTTCTTTCATATTTACCTGTTCTTCTTTAGGAGGTGCTCAAATGGTGTCAACAGTGACTTCCTGGGGGAGAGATTGCCCAGCTGAAGTCACAGAATCACAGAACATGCTGATTTGGAAGGGAGCCACAAGGATCATTGAGTTCAACCCTTAGCCCTGCTCAGGACTGTCCCCAAGAGTCACACCATGAACCTGAGAGTATTGTCCAAACAATTCTTGAACTCTGTGAGGCTTAGGGCTGTGGCCACTTCTCTGGGAGCCTGTTCCAGCACCCAGCCACCTTCTGGGTGAAGAACCTTTCTCTAATATCCAACCTAAACCTCCCCTGACACGACTTCAGGCCATTCCCTTGGGTCCTGTCACTGGTCATCACAGAGAAGAGATCGGTGTCTGCCCTTCCTCTGCATGTTACCTCCTCCCTTCCCCCCCTTGTTTTTATATTTTAGTGACTACCAAACTTTGTCTCTCTTGTTCTGTATTTCCTCAAGGATTTTTGTGTCTATATCCATAGAGCTCTCTTCAACCAGTAGAGTGTATGATTGTATTTGTATATTTTTCTCAACATATAACACGAATCTGAGAAGTTGGGAGTTCTGTTTTGTTTTTAGTCTCTGTGTTTAAGCTTTGCCTTATTGCCAACGCACATAGGTCATAGAAATGGCTAAACAGGCCCAAGTGGTGTTTCCCCTTTGCAGATGAGAGATCCAGGGAAATTGAAAGTTATCCAATTTTGAGGGTGTAAAGAGAATAATGTTTTATTCCCAACTTGGGACTAGCCTTTCACTCCAAACCATTTTCTCCTTTGGGTACATTTGTGTAAACCTGACCTGTTTTAAGGGGTCTCAGCTGTGCTTGTTCTCCAGCCACTTAACCCTTTCTCTTTTGGTTCTTTGTCTTTACAAGGACAGCAGAGAAAATGGGTTTGTAAAACTGTGTTCAATTTGGCAAACACAGGCAAGTAGTTAAAAAGCTTTGAGTTTGGAATAGTTTGCTTTCCCTGTTACGCTGTGGTTTAAAATATACTAAGTTTCCATAGCCAGCTCCAAACGTGGCTGTGGTAAAATGTACTTTAAGAATTCTCTTTAGCAAAGAGAATATGACCATAGAGAATGGAGCTCTATTTTCTCATTGTAGTAGTGTTTTATATTGAGCAAGATCTTAAATTCCTGTGTTACATTTTATAGTAAAATATCCAGGATTTTTTTTATGTTTTGCATAGCAATATATATTATACTAGAACACTCAGGAATTTCATGTTGTGAGAAAGATTTTCTGGTAATATAAACAATGATTATCTGGTATTAATGTTGGAATTGAGTATTCAATCTTTTTTCAGCAGTTACTGGAATAGTGTAACTGAAAACATATTCAAAATATCCATGAACTGAGATTTTAAGCTTCTTAAAATCAGTCTGTTAGTTTTTCCATATGATGTGCACAATGGCAATCAGGTTTTGGATGGACTGTTGTTGAATAATACATGAATGTAAATGGAGATTGTATGGAATCAGTTGGATAATTTTGAGGAATGCTTTAAGTACACTAAAGAGCCTGAATAGCAGTTAATGGTGCTTCAACTTTATTACTGTTTATTATAGTTGGCAGTTCAGTTGTATTTTTTTCTGCATCAAGTTCTCTAGTTTCCTATAGAACAGCAATAAAAAAAGCTTACAAATAATAATAGTCAGATGCACTGTATCCTGTGGCAGCAAAATAGTTTTGCATTAAATTGTAGTTCTTGGCAGTCTGAGTGTGTTTATTGTTGGGCAGCTCCAGCAGATCAGCCAGTGCAGGACAGACCTGGCAGACATCAGCATTTGGGGCTCTACAAGCAAAGAGGCTTTGCCTGTGCCTGGGGAACCCAATTTGGAGCTTCACAGGGCACCCCCAGAGTGGGGCCAGTGAGCTCCTTGGTCAGCTTCTCCTCAGCCTTCCCCACTCCTGGCTATTCTCCCACCCCTGTCAACACCAATGTGATTTTAGTTACCTGTTTTGAGAACTGCTGAAGGAAGCAGAAATGCTTCTGACATCTAGAAAGCAAGCTGGAGGTACAATGAGCAAATGTATGCAGCAATAATATATACAACTTGGTCAGTTGTGAAATTTTGCTGTTTAAACAACAGGAAAAGTGGCAATCACAAAGTGATTTAAACGTCTAGTTGCTCTCGTTCACAGCTCCATGGTTTAAAACTGTTTCTCTTGCCCATTGCAATTCCTTTTATTATCTTTAAAGCTAAATGTTTGCTACTAGCAATCACAAGCTGGGAAGCAAATGGAGGAACACATCCTTCATTTGGCTCAGTTCTGAAACTCCACTGGGAAAAAAGTAGATCTGAACTGCCCCATAAGAAGTGTCATTTTCCTTGCTGGAATAAAGTCACGGCAGTGAGTGGAGTTGATGTGGCAGAGGCGTGTCTGAAACTTGCTTTGCAGAGTTTTCCATCAGTCCTGCCACGTGCATTCACGAAGATTTTTGAATCCTAAGTTTTAAGTTTAGTCAGTAATCCTGCTCATCTGCTGAACTGTGCTGAGACTTTGCTTTGAAATTTTAACTTTGCCCTAAGGAATGTGCTCTGCTTTCTTATAGTAACAGCCAACAATTGTCATGGATTTATTTGCTAGGTTGGATATTGGTAAGAATATCCGAAGCACTCTGGGGTATTGTACATTTTTTTTGCTTTTTGTGAGATTTGTAAAGCTTGAGTTGTGCGTATTCTGTGAATCAGGAATGAATTATCAGCTATCTCCTGTGGCCTTTGCAGCATATGTTTCCAAAGTATTAAAACACCTTGTTGCTGCTTTTGGCCCTGTACATTTTCTTCTTTGCAGGGTCACTACTGAGGTCGAGAGCATAAGGAAACACAGACCTAAATACTGAGGTTCCTCCTTAGCTGAAAGACATTCTGCAGGACCTGCCTTCAGGTGCTGTTGTTCATCTGACCATGCCTTAGTGTTCATCTTTCTTTCTTTCAGCTGTCGGACAAGCAACAGAAAGAGTTTGATTGTAACATCCAGCACGTCTCCGACTCTCCCACGACCACATTCCCCTCTTCATGGGCATGCAGGTAAGTCCCTGGGACTGCTCTGCCCGGGAATCATTAGCAAAAATGTCAGTAGTCATCGTGGTGAGTTTGAACATATTGATACTCAACATCAAATGCTCTTTGGAGAGCATATTCTGACAAGAGTTTTTCACCTTCTCTAACTTGTAAGAGGGTCCTTGTAGTTTCAAGATAAATGTTTTATGTTCCATACTTCCTAGTTTGCTTCCGTATCCGTCCTCCGCTCTTCCTGGGGGATTCAATCCTCTCGCGTCCTGCGAAAGAGCCTGAGATGGAAAACAAAGTAAAATAAAATTAGATAAATACGTTTAAATAAATATCTTGCTTTGAGTCTCTGAGCATGGTTAATTTGTGCCAGTGATTTAACTGCAGTTCTCATGAGAAGGAACATCCTGCTTGTTTCCGTGCGCCTCTGGCAGCTGTGCACTGTGCCATTTTATGGTCTCTATCTGCTCCTTAGAGCAACATGAGATGCTTGGGATTACTTTTTCTATTTTTTTTTTTTTTTTATTTTTAAATTGCTGCCAATTTTGTGATGGCAGCAACTGTGAAATGCTCATTTCAGAGCACATGGGCAGGTGCTTGTTATTCATTGAGGTGAAACGTGCGGAGATGTTCTTTCTATGAAAAAAGAAGGAAAGATTCTTCAGAAAGGGTCACACATGCAGATTCAACAGCTTGCCTGAACAGCATGTTCTCTTGATGTTTTTGTTGCTGAGGGAGGTAGGTGATGTGTGACTGCAATGTTTTTGCTCTTTCAAAATGCCAGAGAAGATGGTTGGGCTGCAGGTATGGCCCTTATGGGCACCAGTGAGTAGCATGAAACAGCTTGGACATTTGTGGCACATCCACAGTGGAGCCTGTCTGGAAGCACATCACTGCTGCCTGCAAGACAAGGAACTGTTGTTTTCATTATAATCAGAGTTTCTTCCTCCTACATGGCAGCGTGTTCTGTAAATGCTTTCTGGAGATGGAAACTAAGGAAATGCTGAGAAAGAACAGCACACTGATAGTAGCTCAGCTAAAAGGAGCCATCTGCTTCTGTTTGCAGAGCTTTGCATCTCGAGAGGTGACATCCAGCCTGTTGAAAGGAAAAAGAAGGCCGAAGTTATTGTTCAGGGATGCCCATGAAAGCCTCATTGACTCTTAAGTTATCGTAAAAATCTGTCACGTTTGCTTGGGATGCTATAAAAAACCCGGTCATGGAAGGCTAGGAATTTGCTTTAATTACATTGGGTTTTTTTTAAAGAACCCATTATTTTCAAATTAAAATGTTAACAAAATCTTTTAGGTGATAGATTAAAATAATTTTCTTTTTGCTTCAGAATCTGAAATAGGATGCAGGGCCAAAAGTTTGTATAGGGCCATCCCCTTTCACCTCAAACTCCCTTGGTTCTGTTGTGTGTAATTATGGTAGTCATAGCTTTGTAAAATTTGATTTCAGCAAGGCATTTTTCATGGAAGAAATTCTCCACATAATTACATTGTACTTCTTACTTTGAGTTAATATATATTTTGTTTTACAAATTCTGAATTAGCTGTACAAGCCTTTAACTGAGAAAAAGAAGTGTCCTGGCTTGGCTGATTGCAATAAGATGTTGATGTGATCGTTGCTCAGAAAACAAATGCAGGATTACTCATAATAGAAACATTTACATTTTCTTTTCTCTTCTGTCCATTTCAAAAGTGAAAAGTTTCTCCAGGTGGTTTTGTTGCTGCTTCAGGCTTTACAAGCTTATAGCTTATTAGATAAATTAAATCTGTTAGATAAAGTATGTGAGTGTCTTCTAAAAAGAAGAGTATCGACTCAGTCGTGTGCCACCTTGCTTTAGCAGTAGTTTTCAAATGTTTCCACTTTTTTGTTCTGATGTTGCATATGGGATTTTAAATTATTAGTTAAAAGGAAATCCTTTGTGACCTCCAAGAGTAGCCAGTAGAGCATAGGAAGGTAAATTAATTGTAATTTGAGTTCTCTACCAGTACTATATTTAGGAGTCTTCCCTGGGAAAAAATAATTTATTCAAGAGACAAAAGTAGATGAAATTTAGAGTAGAGTCACAAATATTTTCTTAAGAAATATCATATATGAGATGTGAATTTGAGAACAGGCTGTGATATTTGTTTAGTATTTGAACAGAATCTATCAATCTGTTTGTTCAGGCACACGCAGTGATGAGTTACTAAGAAACGCTGGAGTCTCTCCCTGGCCTGTTTTGTCTTGAACTTTTGTCCTGTCTTCTTGATGCCCATTCTGAACCTCTTTTACAAATCAAAGGAACATCAACCATGCAGAAAAATCAGGGAGGCTTTCTAAAATGTTTCTCTTCAGAAACCACACTAAAATGAAGTCCTGTATGGCACTAATCCCAGGAGTTATCCCTCTGTGTGTGTACTGTAAAAGTCAGTGGGTGAGATTCAGTTGTCTTTCTGTCAGGTAAGAATGAACCTCCTAAGGAACAGGCAGATGCACGTACTGTCTGAAATAGCATCCCAACAAGATGCCAGGCAATTTCACATCCTAGGACTTTCAGAGGGAAAGTATTACTAAGAGATCTCACCATTTGAGACAGAAGTACATCCAAACAATTTTAACTCTGCCATGAAATCACTTCTGAATCAAGAACACTTAAGTGTGCTAGTTCAGTTTTCAAACTCTATGAAATAGCATTTTCCAAAATGAACCACTACTGTGGCATAGAGAGCTACAGCTTGTCAAGTCAGTGGGTAAGTAACTCTGCTTGTTTAGTCTCCCAGACTTGTAGTTCCAAGTTTTAGGGATAGAAGTTTGAAAATTTTGCCTTTATTCTAAATTCTTTTTCTTTCGAAATGAGAGTGGGGAAAAAGGTACACACATGTATTCCTTAGGTTTGTTTGTATTTCTTTGAATCCATTTTTTAAAATCTGAAAATTACAAAGAGGTTACACCGTGAGGTTGATAACTAAGTTACCATTAGGTGATATTTTAAATTGGAAAGCTTAAAATCAAAGTATTAACATTACTTTTATAATTTAGTAGTAAAGAGATAGGTTCTTACAGCTGGTAAACTGAAGTTCAGGCTATTTTAAAATTTACTTTCCATAGCTGTAAGGTTGCTTGCTGGCTTCCAGTGGAGACACTTGTCACTGCTGGGACCTTTGCCATCTGTAAGGGCAGGCGGAGGGAGCTGGCTGCAGGCAGCACTGTGCTGCTGAATTGAATGATTCCAGTCTTACACTGCAAGTTCAGTCCCACCTTCTGGCAGAAAAATGGCTATTACTGAGGTCCCTATTTATTTATTAGAGTGGGCAGAGTATGTAACATACCACTCTAGATCCTGCCCTGGTTGTCAAAGCTTCTTTTCTTCTGCGTGTCATGTGTGTGATCCTCAGATGGTGTGAGAGCGCCGTGGCATTCACTGATTGTGAGGCCAGTGGTACACAGGGTGCTTTAAATTTTTTGATCATTTTGAGATTTGTGTGTGCTGGAAGGCAGCTAATTCTGTAGCATGCAATATGACCTTTCGCTGCTTGCATTAATATTCAACAAGTAATATTTGTGTATGCTACATAGAAGACCACGAAAACTTTTTTGTATTTATTTATTTGTGTGATTCTCAGGAGCAGGTTTTACAACATGGAGCCATGTTGTGACTTTTTGGACTCATAACCTATCTGGTGAATGTCATGTTTGTAGGTGATAGCTGACACTTTCATGTATCTATTGCCCATAAGGTCTGGTTTTGTATTTTGAGGGTAGTGGATATAGAAATGCTTTGGTTGCATCCTTCTTCCTGTGTCCAGAAGATGTAAAGGTTCCTGCCTGAATTATTGGCGTTTGTGTAACTGTGTTGATTTACCTAATGGGCAATCATTCTGTGTAACAGCCTCCCTTGAGACAGAGTCATTTCAGGTTCAATAGTAGCCAACTATAACCCTTGAGCAACAGGAGAATCTACCTTTGCTACAGAATAAATAGGGTTTCGATCAGCCTTGGTGAACGAGACCATTGCACTGAGGCTTCTCTTATTAAAATGCCTTCATCTAGAGCAGATGCAGCAGTACTGGGAAATTTTAGGGAAAGCAGTAATTCCCCTTCTCTCTGTTGTTTTTTTTAAAGCTTCACCCAGACTTGAATTGAGTAGAAAAACTAATTGCTTTTCATTTTAACACTAGAAGCAAATCACAGGGGATCTAATTAAAATTCCAGTGTCTGGAAGGAAATATGCCATATACATCTGAAAAAGTAGTTGCCTAAAAATTAGTAGTATCTCTGTACCACATTGTGCAGGCTCAGAAGAGTTTGAACACCCACATACTTAATTCTGATATTTAAAAACTGTCATTACCCAATTTGCTCAGTTATTCTGAAATTTTATTTTGATCATAATCCAGAAAGTTCACAAAAGATTGATAAAGATATAAAAAGGCAATAACAGTTCATTACTTGTTTATAACAATGTTGGGCAATGAGCTTTTTGTTCAAGAGGATCATCTTGACACAGTAGGGTTCATCATTAGTAAAGCTTGAAAAATGGGAAGGCAAAGGCCAAGGTTCCCACCAAAGCTGACAGCCTTCCTTGCTTCATTAGATCACCTTCATAACCATGGAAAGGCCTCACTCCTGCTGCATTTCCCTGGGATCTAAAATGCTCCTTCAGCCTTCTGCTAGCAAGTAATTGGTGACCCTCACCCTATAGCCATGTGCTGCCACCAGGACGTGTGTGTTCATGCACAACTCAGTTGTTCACTTGGTGGCTGTTGTGGCATCTTCTTAAATCCTTCTTGTAAGCTTGCAGTGCCACCTAGACTGTGACTGCCATACCTCTCTGTCTTCTCTTGGTTCAAAGGCAGCATGATGCTTCTGGGTTTTATTTCCAGTGTGACCATAAGAATTAAAATGAGTACAAGCTTAATAAATGAAGCACCAAAAATTATTTAGTTACCGATTCCTGATCACTCTCTCCCCTGTTCACTTGTGATATACTGGGAATGGGTTAAACAGTATCCAGTTTTGGATGAAGACTTGCATTGTGTTATATTACACTGTGAACTCATTGTTAATCTTAACCAACAATACAGAAGAAAACCAAGCCAAAAGAAAACAAACCTGTTGCTCAAACCCTTTGTTTTTAATTTAGTTTGCTCTTGATGAAGGAGATTGTAGAGTGATCTGGCATTCACTTACCTCTCCAGTTCTCTCGTCACCCCATGACACATGTTAGATCAGCCTGGGGCTGCTTTAATCTCAACCAGCTGCTGCTTTTCCCCTCGTAGACTCGTAGACCAGATGGAGTTTGCTGGCCTGTGCTGTACTGTGGCCATCCTCACACCCCAGAAGGTATCAGCCTGTTCCCCCTCTCCCCGTCCCTCCCTCCCAGCTGTGGGTGCCAGGTGTGCACACCTTGCTCACAGGAGGTTGTGCAGAGATGCTGCTGCAGACTTTGGGGGACCATTTGTATTGCTGAAGTGTGAGGGAATGTTACCTTCAACTGAGCACTGTGCTTGTGTTCTGCTTCTCTCAGTGTAGCAGTTACGTGGATAACTGATTGAAATTAAGGTGATTTAATTAAAAGCTGCAGTATGTTGCTGGATGGGCCCGTAACCTCATAAACAGTGCTGATATGAGGGTCACTTAGTGCTTCTCTTGAAGCAGAGACAAGTCCTTTGCAGATGACTCATGATTGGCTTGACTTTTCTACATAACTTTTACAATAAAACCATTTTATATGGGATCTAAATTTAAAAACATTTATGAGTTATGTACCTTGCAGTGTACTGCTTGTCCGGAATCTATTCCGTTTTCCTGGACTTATTTTAATGTTATCTTATTGTCTGTGCACAAAGAAATTGCTGTTGACATATGTTTACTATGTGTAGTTCCTCTTTTGTCGTATATTAATGATCAGAGAGAGCAAACCACTGAAGAATATGCCTGATAGAAAGTACACTCACTGACCTGAAACATCTAATTCATCCATAACTTTCAAAGGTTCCAGCAGTTAGTTTGTAAATGATCCTGGATTTCAGAAGGGCTTTCTGCAAAATGGTTGCTTTTTACTTTGAAAAAAAATACATTGCAATAAACCTCTTACCACCCATATGCTTACACGTCATATGTCAAAACCCAGAGAAAAAAACTTGTTCCAAGAGAAGATTAAATGTTATTATTTTCCTTACTGTATAATTTCACAGTTACTTTCATTTCATGGTGGAAGTACTATTTCAGAAAAGTGGTAGTTAGGGTGAATACTGGTAGATTTTAGCCCAGTCATCTTACATGTGTATAGTCTTTTTATTATCACGTGCTGTTCTTTTGGTATGTCTTTTTTTTTTCCCTTCAGTCAATTTTACATTCAGCCTTGATGTACATTGTGAAGAAATGTTTTCTTACTATTTATTATTCCTGAAACTGTCATCAGTGTAATTTCTAACTCAGATTTTCCCCTGACAAGTGTTAGGAAGAGCTTGTATATAGAAATTATTACAAAATATTAAAAGACTATGTTATCTATGGATGGTACATTACTTATCTCAAAATAGGAAATAAAACATACACCTTAAATTATTTTAAAAGGAGGAAAATACCCAGAGCATTTCTTTAGCAAACTAATGCTCAAATGCTCAAAGGTTCAAAGCTCCATATTTCCAACTACTTGTGACTAGAAAGTCTTTCTACACAGTGAAAACTCATTCTGCTGTTGCAAATGTGAATGGAATGATTTTGGACTGTTTATTTTGGCTTTCTCAAACAGGTAGCAGCCCTTTGGACAGTCCCAGGAACTTCTCTCCAAATGCACCTGCTCATTTTTCCTTTGTTCCTGCCCGAAGGTAAGGCAGGATCTATTCTCTTTGGACTGGCAAGCACATAGTTTATACACTTTTATTTAGAAATGGCCTATAGGTTAGAAGATATTTTTCATTGAGTTTTACTTTCTCTGATGTAAAAATTTGTGTTTTATTTAGTTTTATATTTTATTTTTTATGGACTACATCTTGGCAGCACCTGGAATGTGCTTCTCAGAGCTAGAAGAAGATAAAATCAAATTAAGTAGTTAATGCTGCCTAGGGAGAAGGCAACATTCTTCCAGAAGAATGACATGTGGGGCATGTGATATGACAAATAATTTAGTCACAGTGATGTTAAAACCAGTCATGATTGGGATAATTGTAACTTAGTTGCAGTCCTAGATGTTGCTCTCACTGGGATGTGTTCAGAGTGTGCTGATCTTCTTTGCTACGTCTGCACAAAGTTGTAAACATACCTGAAATTAGGCACCAACCACTCTGTGTGCCTTCATTCCCTGCCTTCTGACTGGTGCTGACTCTTGAGTTTTCTCTACTGTCTTGGGCATTGGTGTCAAGAGAACATTATTGCTCTAATGAAGGAAATAGCTGATAATTGAAATTGCAAGTCCACAAGAGCCTCTAGAAGAGCAGCACCGAAGACCTGAATGTGAAGCCATCATCTGTCCTGCAGTGAATGCTGGACAGGTGCTGGCCACGCTGTGTATCAAACTGGTGGAAAGAAATCTGATACTCTAGTGATGAATTTCGTGTGGAAAGAATAGAGACAGCTGGGAAAAGCAGGCAAAGGGTGATTTGACTGTTGTATCCCAGCAGGTAGGCAGAAATGGATAATGATACAGAAAGTTAAATTTTGTGAGAAATAAAGAACCAGGAAAATAGAGAAACCCCAAGAAAGGTTTGTGCATAGCAGGTGGATGACTAGACTCAAGTGTGGAGGAGATGTTTTGGATTTGTTGTACCCTGCCTTGGCTGGAAAAAAAGTTAATCTGTGTTAAAATGATCTGAGGATGGGAAACGTGTGATCATCCTTAGAGAAAGTTAAGTTTTCTGAGAATGACAGATTTAGCTTGAGGACTAGTTAAAAAAAACGATAGGTCTCAAAACTTCAAAGGAGAATAAAGGGTTAGGATTTGATGGAATAAGGTTCACCCTTAATCTGAATGGCAGGAAAATCCTGGAGCGTTTCTCCAGTGAGGTGATTCGCTGGAAGACCCGGTGTCCTTGGATACTGTTTGAAATAGACTTTGGTCTTCATGTCTCATGTCAGAAACAACTTTTTAATAGCATGTGAAATGTAAGAAACTGGATATGTATTTTCCTGTTGCCTCAGAGAGAAACATTAGTGTTTTCCCTGCTGGTAAAACAATTCAATGGACTCACAGAATCCACCTTTGTTTTTAAAGAGGTATCTAAGCCTGATCTGGGAGTATTCAGTCAGCTCTGTTGAAGTCCACTGAATTCCTTCCAGTTTTCACAGTATCTGGACTTCTGGACTCTGGTACACAGGAGAAAAGTTGCAGCAGAAACCATTGTCAAAACTTAACATAATGTTTCAACATTATCTTTCAACTTGACACTTCAGGATTATGGTTTCTAAAGGTTCAGACAGCAAATAAATGTTTTAATAATAAAACTCTAAAGAGTTCCCTTTCATACTTTCCCATTTTTTAAATCTAACTTTTAAAGAATGGATGAATAAAGGTTAAGCCTGTCCTATTGAGTACAGTGGTACATTTTACAGTATACATGTTTTTCTCTATACTTTTTTCTGCCAGTGAAAAGAACACTTAAGCACAGCTTGTTTTAGCAACTTGTTTCTATTTTCTACTTGCATTACACCCTGAATAGCTATGCCAGCAGTAACAACAGATACAGATTAGATTATCACATAGGGGTATCAGAATAACTTCTATATGATGGTATTAAGTAATTGCAAGTGTGCTGCCAGACAAATGGATATTTTACAGTACCCTTTTCATTGACATTCAGTGGGTCTTTAGAGATGGCCCTTACCTGATTTCCTGCCACTGCAATCACAGAAATTGTTTGTTGCTGATTTTCTGCCTGTTATTTGTGGTGTAATTTCTTCATTTATTGTTCTGTTTGGACATCATTTGTGATTTCCATTCTTTCATTGAAGCCCTGGGATGAGTTCTTTCTTGAGACAGAGTAGGAAACGTGTTTGAAAACCATGTCTTATTGTAAAACCACTACAATATACTGCTAGATTGTCCTTGGTCTGACTTGTGCTTAATCATAAATCCCTTGTTAGACACCCTTTCAATGATTGTGTCATAGCCACAAAGTTGGCATGTTCGGGAATCCTCCTGTTGGAATAAGTAAATGTATGGTTAACTGTGCTCATATTCACTAAAACTGATCTTGGAGGAATACCACTAACAGGAGATGGAGGTTTTTTTCAGAAATCATGTGCATCTTCTACTTCTCCCTCTCTCATAATTATTGTACAATTTTTTCCATACAGCCACGGACACAGAGCAGACAGGTAATGTGTATCCTATTGCTGCTGTTTGTGTGTGTGTATGAACTGTGCTTCTGTGTGGCTGAGCCTGTGTCCCTAACAAGTTCCTGCTGTAACAACCCCATTTAGGCATTTAGCTTCTGTTCTTTGGTAGTTGAAACAGGAGATCTTTGCATTTTGTCTCAAAGTGATAAACAGGTAGTGCTCTGGAGAAGATGCGTTGTTTTTCTAACATTTTATTGTTTGAAATTGATCTACTGTTCATTAAATAGCATTTAGCTGCCATAAAAATACTTCCTTAATTAACTAATTAAAATGTCATTTTAGAGGCAAAGTTTGTTGTTTGCATGTCTTTGTTGTGCTGGCAAGGTGTCTATAATAAACAAATATAATACCTAAAGGTTTCTTTCCAATTGTCTTTTCCTGAAGCAATACTGCATGTTATCTCCCTAAAATATGTTTATTAACAGAACACTGAAATAACTTTGAAATGTTTTGCATAAATTAAGGAGGAATTTTCTTTTAAAGTTTTTTTCCTTTCCTTTGATTTGGAAGATTTCTAGTCTTGTCCCACTTCTTTCTGCTAGAGTAGAGCTGACATGTGTGTCCTGACTGCTTAGCACATTGCTTGCCTCGATTGCATCAGCAGAAAATAGCCCAAGCATGAAGGGGTGTCCTGTAATTTTCTAACTGATAAATATATTTTTTATTTAACTTTGTCAAAATGAAGATTATTTCAGTGCACAATTTAGGTAATTCAGTAAGGAAGTAATTAGGCTTTCCTTTTACAAAAAGTGAGTGACTTGTGCATTCCTGTGAGCAGACTGCCTTGCTTTGGGACTCAGAGTCCAAGCTGAGGTTGAATCATTAACCTGAAGGTTTCCCCAGTACTCCTGTGTGTTACAAGAAGCTGAATGAAGATCACTGAAGTTTGATGTTCAGTCACTTGCCACAGAAAGCAACAACTTTGTAATTTTGATGATTGTTGGTTTTTTGGAGTTAGGAAAGGAATTCCATTTCTCTTGGAATAATTTTGAGATTGTTCTTTTACATTGAATTGTCTTCCCAAAGAAAATATCACCTGTGGCTAGGTGGGGTTTAGCTATAACATACACATGCAATAAAAATCTGCATTACAGCCTTATTTATTTGTTTTTTTTAATGCATGAAGCGTAAGTCTTTTTAAAACTCTTGACATAATATTTTTTCAGTGATGTGGAACAGTGAATTTATTTCCCTCTCATTCTAAGATAGATGGCAAAGAGTGCTTTGCATCTGAAAATAAAAGGAGCTAGACCTGGAAAAATTGCAAACAGGAGTTTATGTCTGGTGGGCACTGAACTTTTTTCTGGAGATGAGGCTTCACAAGTGTGGAGAGTGGGATGAGAAATATTACTGTGAAGATAACAGTTGAGGGTTTTACAAGCACTGTTTCAGACCTGTACCAAACATCCTATTTTATAATGCACTTGCATAAATGCACTGTATTTGTTTGTACCAGAAAGCCCCATATCTTTCCACAGTAGCCTTGGGGTTTGGGTGGAGAAGGTTTCAGGGAGGGCAATACTGATTCTTCTGAAAGCAGTCATGTAGTTCCTCAATTTTGACACTGGTAAAACAAGACCTTTTCTGAAATATCTCCACCATGTTTTGGCTATTTTCCCCAGTAGTCAGGTTTCTTTGACTACAGTAGGGGAATAACCACTAATATTACATTAACTGGAGGAGAAAGGGAGACCCTAAGTTCTCTGATTCTTATCTTAGTATTTTGAGTGGACCCCACATCTCTGTTCGTATCTGCTGTTGTGGTTTTAATTCCCCAGCTGTGCCAGGTGATGCTTTCTGACTAGGTAGACAAATGAATCTGCTTTCAGTTGATTCTTGATGTAATGTGATTTTTTTTTTTGTTCTCAATTTTAATGTTCATCTGGAAGACGAGAAAATGCATAAGTAATTATCTTAAGCATGACTGTCTTTTTTCAAAGAAGTTTGCAGGGAGCTGTTTTCATTTATTTGTTTTAAGAACTCCAGTTTTTGTACAAGTGGTAACACATACAAAGCATCTACTTAATGCAGGAGTCTGATGCCCATTTGCTTTATGTTTTCCGAGGTCACCTAATTTTACTTTTAAAACTTAGTCTGGCTGCTTTTTCACAAATGTCATCGTAATTAGGATACCCAATTCATCTGAATAACTTGAGACTTTCATAAAAATGTGAGGTTAAGAGATTTGGGGGAGAAAATTGCTTTTTTCTCCTAAGAATTAGCCACAATACGTCCCTGACCGTGATTCCCCTTACATCTTTTCCCCAGGACGGATGGACGCCGCTGGTCCTTGGCCTCCCTTCCTTCATCTGGCTATGGAACAAACACTCCCAGTTCAACAGTTTCAGTAAGTGACACAGACTTTTCCAAGCAATTCAGTTTGTACAAACACACCCTAACAAATCAGCTTCCGAGTCTCTACTAAAATATCTGATCTTTCTTCATTGTTTTGCTAACATTATTTAATATACTAATTATTTTAAAATTTTTTTGAATTATTGGTTCTGCTGCTTTTTTCCTCCATTTCCCAGCTCCTATCATCTTGCACTTTGCCTTTAGCATTGGTGAAATCCCAGTGCAGCATTTGGCTTGACTGATCAGTTGAGAGACACACTGTCTCTGAAGTGGCAGGACTCAGACATAGTGCATAATTACCTTCCAGCTCTCAGCTTTTTATAACTGGGAAATGAAATTCTTGTCTGCTTTCAAGTTCTGAGTACGAAAACCTCTGCTATCAGGCTAGCAGAAAGAAAAACTGATAATCCACATCTGTTACTCAACTCCAGTAATTTCAACCTCCTAATAAAGCTTTTCAGTTCTTACACCCTTCATTAGGAAGGCTGGCTGCAATTTGCTTGGGTTCAGTCAGTAGTGCCACTAAGACAACAGCACTGTGTTAACCCTTGTAACTCTCACATGCTCCCTAAAATGAACCTTACTCTTTAAGTGAAGTAAGTTTTGTGGTTATCCATGTAACAGCCTTGCAAAGCCAAGCACAGAAAAAGTAGAAGTGTCAAGGCTGCCTGTACAGACTTAATGTAACTTGCTTTTGTGTGTGTGCTATGGTGAGTGCTTTCAACTGTGTGGTAACATCACTGCCTCTTTCCATAGTAATTCTACTGATAATTTAGTTTTGTGTGAATAATTTAGAGTACGTTCCTAATAATTATAATTCCATACCACCATTAATTAGGACTCAGAACTCCACATTATGCAAATCTTACACTGTATCATTGTTTTCCGTGTGGGCTGTTAAGCTCATCCGTAAACTTTCTAGTGTCTCTCAAACACAAATATATCACACAGTTCCTTAGGAGGTGAGTGTTAAATTCACCTGAATTTAATAGGTCTGTATAGCCAGAGAAGGAATTGGGGTCAAAAATTTTCTTTTAGCCTAAATTGATATGACTAAAATTTGATTTTGCAATGTTCATCTGATCTCTATAGCCTCATTGCCTCAGACACATTCCTTCAGACTCTAGTTTGCATAATTTCCACAATTTATTATCTTTTGAACTTCAAGACAGTTGGTTTTTTTGTTGAATTTGGGTGGGTTTTTTATGGTCTCCTTAGAAGGCACGTGACTTGATTTCAGTCTCTTGTTAAAGTCTGTGTATGTGTACAGATATGTGGGCAGGAGCACAGAAAATGTAGAAAAAGTCATTATCAGCATGATAAAAAGGTGTCCCTGGTTTCACTGCCAAACATTATTATATATTCAAGCACCTGAGAGCAGTTGTTAAAAAGGAGCTCTGCTCTGGCCTTTATAGTCTTAGGTTAAATCTTTGTGGGCATAAGCCAGGCCTAAGTCCTCTTCTGGGAGGAAACCATGAGAGTGTGGAGCAAGTACAGTCACTTCTGTATGGATGGCATCCAAATAGTTTGATCAATGGTAGTCACTGTGACAGCTTCCAAGATGCCTGTGAAGATGACACCTTTGGAGGCCAAACTTCCTGCAGTGTGGAAGTTCTTACCTGCAGGTGTGATCAGTAGTTTTTCAAGAGTTTATATTTGGCCAGGCTTTGGGTAGATGTCCAAAGAGAGAGCAAGAGTGGCAAGAACAACAAGAAAAATCTGTTGAAATTTTCAGTTCTTGCTTTGAAATAGGCTACTTTTAGAAAGTTCTCAACTTGCTGGCATGTGAAAGCAAGCATATTTGTCTCTTGTCATGTTCCCAGAAATAGCTAAATCATTTTGATTCATGTTTTCCTATGAAAAAAAAAAAAAACAAAAAAAACACACAAAAAAAATCTGAGATAGACATGTCCCATATAAAGCATCAGTTCAAACTGTGTAATTTTCCAAAGCATTATAAGTAACAGAAAACAGGATGGTGCAATGAGAATCATGAAGTGATAGTTGTAGGTAGACCTGAATTCACCTTCCTGCAGAAAATAGATTAAAACATGTAATTCCAAGACTTTTTTTTCCCCTAGATGGCTAAGTCTCTCATCTCTTGTCCTAAGATTGTGTTACAATCTTAGTAAGACATTGAAATGGGCTTTTTAGTAAGTAGTGATCCAATTGTTGGAGCTGTTAAACTTGATATTACATTTCTAAGCCAATCCTACTTAGGACTTGTCTATGACAATACTATTATTGTAGTATTTCACAGATTAGAATTAATTTGAATTGATCTCAATAACACCTCTGAAGTTGATAAGTGGTATTATTCCTGCATTGACTTTAAAACCGAAGTAAGAAACAGTCCAGGGCCTTGTCAGAAGGGCACGGTGAATTAATGCTGCAGATACAACTTTAGCAGATTTTTGAGCTTCCATTTCATGTGATCAGTCCTCAAGATTGTTTCTTTTTCAAGCAAGATAGAAGGAGGACAATAGACTTTCCTTCTGCTGGTCTGAGTTTCTGTGTGAGAGCAAGAGCTGACCTGCACCTCTGGGGTCATAGATCAGCTGCTCTGTCAACCTGCTGAACAAACCAAGGCCTTTATGTAGTTTAAGGTCAGTAAAAACCCGTAGATTCTGTTTAATTCTTTGCTTCCAAATGAGTCATGACACTACAAAAAAAAACCCCAAACAAACCACATTTATCCTTTCCATAGAAATGAGGAAGACCAGATAAATATTATCAGACCAACTCTAGGAAAGCTGAAGAAGACCTTCTTTCAAACTCGATGAACACAAAATAATCAGTTAAATGGGCCAATATACAATTATTTTTAAGCAACTAATCTACTATTCATTTTCTAGATGCAGAGTTAGTTTATAACCTACTGTAGTATTCACTTGATTTTTTTTTTTAACTGGAGAAGGCTAAGCTAATTCTCCATCTGTAATTAAGACACCAGGGGGGTGTTTGTGTTAGTCTGCTGCAAATGTTGAATACTGTGATGTGATTACTTAAAAATCAATACTTCAGGAGTGTTTCACTTCGCTTTCATGGTTTTTCATTAAAATGTTATACCCCTTAACACTGCTAGAGAAGCCCTTGGCAAGAAAAGTCCATGGTCTTTATCTTCAGGACTTTCATTAATTATTCTTTGGAATTACAAACTTTGTGATCTGTTTGCTTTTAAGGAGAGGAAGTGGAGGGAGAATTTTTTTTGAGTCATCCATGGGTTTACTAGCACTGCTTCCCCAGTGATTTTGCTGTTGGAAAACAAAGTTTTTAATGATTTTTCTAGACTATAAGTTTTGACTTTCTTTTTCCTTCTAATTTTTGTAACTTTCCTTCTAATTCTTGTAACTAGCCTTCCTTAATTTGTTTTAAATAAGACATGTATTTGTAATGCCAGAACTTGGGTACCTGCTAATGCAGGTTTGTAAGACAGTATCTTTAGTAATTCCTGCTTTGTTGCAGTATCCATGTTATTTGTCATGAATGGGATGTCAGCTGCCACGTACCTTTTCTGTGAGGCTTTTTCATAGGCAGGTACTTCTTCCTGCTCCTTGCGTGGTATGAGACACACAGAAAGGCATCAAAGAAATCTCTGAAAATCAAAACAGAGCTTGAGTGATTCTATACCATAGAGAATATTCTTTATAATTGGCATAAGCAGCCTGAGCAGCAGAATGACTGGACAAGGGGGCAAATACCCAAACTCTCCATCTTGGCTTCAGTGTGGATTATCAGTGTAAACTGATCCACCATCTGGGGAATCATCACTGTGTGGACACTGAGCTGGAGGTGACTTCTCAACACGATCCCTGCACAACCTTGGAAGTGGTGGTTTCCAGTTTCAGGCACACTTGGGGAGTTCATGCACATCCCAAGGCTTTCAGGGGAGTTCTTTTCTGTAAATACCTTTGTGCAGTGTAGAGAGGGTGGATCTGGGCTCTTGAGCCAATTATATTTTTATTAAAGGATAGAACCTTTATGTTTGTAAGTTCTCATATCACCCCATTTTTCTGTTGCTTACAGTATTTACAGTAGTTGAACTGGTTTTTTGAACTGATACTTTCTATGTGACTTGTTTATCTCAGATTTGTTGGTTGACTGGTGTTTTTCCTCAGAAAATGTCAATCAAAAGGATCTAGCTATATGATGAGATATATAGGCTTTTTTTCCCATGTTAGTGAGCTTAAGCTTCAGTCATACATGTTATATCATATATAATTCTCTCCTAACAATACTTCTGGTACTAGAATGCAGTGCTTCCAGTTTGAGTGAGGATCATTTTAACAAAAGTACAAGTTTTTCTACTGGAACAGTGTATATAATGAATTTTATCAGATAATAATGAGCCTTGGAACTTAGATTAGGGTGATATTTTTAATAAGGCCCGCTGGTGTTACTCAGTGCTACTCTGGTTATTCAGCCCTTTTTTCTTTTTCCCTTTGTTTTTAAAGAGAATTTTTAATTTGTCCTTACATAATGTATTTTCTTACTTCTGTAAAATGGAGAGGGACATTGAAAAATCACACACAAACCCCCACATTTCTTAGTTGATTTACAGCTTTTTCCCCTGGAATGTCCAACATTTGATGTTATTAGCATTTCCCACAAATATTTGTTTTAATCTCAGGTTTTATGAGGTTCAAGGATTAGAACAGTTTCATGTCTATCATTATCTCAGGACATCCGTCATATAAATGCATCAACTTATTTACAGATGAATAAGCTGTTTAGCTCTGTAATAAGAAACTCTGTTAATCTTAAAACAAAGTTCGTGACTTTCATTTTATTATTGTCTCCTTGGTTAGAGAAGAAGCCTGATGGGTAAAGGAAAGGAGAAATAAAATCCTGACCATTTACAGCAGCAATTTCCAATGAGAGCCAATAGTCAGCAAAAAAGTCTACACAGCTCCATAGCATTCTGCATGCCAGTGGAAACTCCTGAGCTAAGAGAGCATGAGGGAAAAGGAAAGAAAGTTGCTCACCACTCCAGGAACCTCCTTGTCCTCTCCAGAGTAGTGCTGGTACTCACGTACCTCCCTTTCTGTCTCCTGATAATAAATTATCTGCGTGATCAGATGGAATCCTTCCAGAATTGGATGCAGTGGTTTCCCAAGTCCTCTCACAGTTTTCCTGATCTCACCAGCTCTGTCATAGTATGTAAGGGTTGGCTTAGCCTAAAGAGAACAATAAAAAGAGGCACCTGGTCTGATAAATAGCTTTCTTTTCTGCTGGAGTGTGCAGTGTCTGGCAGAGTCCGTTCCTCTCCATTCATTAGCTGACCCCTATGCATGCGTTTAGTGCATTTCTTTTCTGTATTTTTTTCTGTACTCAGTCATCATGCTCATCTCAGGAGAAGCTGCACCAGCTGCCCTTTCAGCCCACGGCAGATGAACTTCATTTCCTGACAAAGCATTTCAGTACTGAGAGCATCACTGATGAGGAAGGGCGCCATTCTCCAGCCCTCAGGCCTCGATCTCGCAGTCTCAGGTGAGCTTTGGGTCGTTTCTCGAGTTTTTAAGATGTTGAACACATGTACTGCATTTCTGTATCTGCCTTCAAATCTACTGCATTCCTGTATGTGCCTTCAAATCTAAGAACGGTCATTTGTAGTTGATTTGTTACACGTCTTTGAAACTATTTTGATCAATATTTAGCTCACCTCACCCAATCAGAATTTTTTTATTTTTTTTTTTAACATTTGATACTGAGGTTTTGGATTGCAAAACGGTTGGTATAGTCTGCTTTAGTGTCAGACTAAATCTATAGAATGTAGATTTCCTGTAGTGAAGTTTCTTCTCAGAATTTAGCTACAGTGACATAAGGATGTGGTTACAGCCACTGTTAATAACTTTTCTGGCAGCGTTTCTGAAGGAGTATGAAAACTAGAGTAGATAAAGTAAAAAGCTTAAATGGAATTGCACCCCAGAGCTATTTTGTCATAGCACTGAAAATGTTTCTCCTACATTAGTAGTTGAATAATTTTTACTGTTGCTTCAGAGAACTGGTTATTCAAAGATAGCTATCCAGGGGTTATTTCCTTGTGCCATTGATTTTGCCGTACATAAAACCAGAAGCAACTGGAATTTCATCTTCCATGGAATTACAGAATGGATGAGGTTGGAAAGGACCTCTGGTGGTCATCCTGTCCAAACCCTTGCTCAAGCAGACTGCCCAGGACTGTGTCTATATGGCTTTTGAATATCTCCAAAGACAGAAATTCCACAAAGTCTATGAGCAGTCTTTCTTGCAGGTCTCTAACAATTACGTGGAATAAATCCACAAACATTTTGTATCATGGCAATAACTTCAAGTTTTGCTATGCCTTTAGTGATGGACCAAGTGAATGAAAGTCTAGGGATGTATACTCTAGGCACAGCTTCTTGTGAAAGAAAAAGGGTTTATACAGGCGGGGTTCAAGGAGGTGAAGTCTCTGTTTTGCTTCTCTTCTGAGGGTGTCAGAGGTGGATATCACCCTTAAATTCATTGATAATATTCAAAAACTCTGCCAGCTGGAAATGCTGAATCAGTGTGCCCAGCTCAGGACCTAGTTGGGGGTTTGTAAAAGAAAGAAGTGAAACAGGCCAGGATAATAAAAAAAATCCATGGTGAGTGTTGTGTCATGGCAGAGCTGACCTTTGATTATTTGTAATTATTTGTATGTTCTAAACTTCAGTGCAGGCTGCATGGTAATTGCATATGGATCAACTAAGTGTAGTTACACAGTAATCTACAGGAGCAGGTAAGTACTGTGGGTAGTAGCACACTTAGCCTGTGACCTCTGCAAATTACCATGTAGTAAAAGAATAGCTGTATGATTTGTACTAAGTCTCTTTGAACAATAGTCCTACTTCAGTCCTCTTGCTGTCACTCTTAACACTGACTACAGCTGAGTAGTGTAGCTGTAGTGGTACTAATTCTCTTATAGATAAGACAGCTACTGTAGGTAGACAACAGGTGGCTAAAGCCATTGTTACCCTTTCTAATTCATGTGTATTTCTGTTGCAGAAGACACTTTTGCTAATGTCAGAATGATTTCACACAACAGTGTGAAAAGCCCAATTTTATTTTCTTCCTTGTTAGTGTGGGTTATCAGCTTGCTTAGAATTTTAAAGCCAATTTAAAGCAGAGTTATCGTGTAGTAGGTTTAGAATTTGTGATGAGATTAATTCAGCGTGTCCTACAACTGATTAATCTTCTTCCTCTCTTGAATACTTTCTCTAGCTCTCTCTGGTTTTTAGTGTGGTAATGGCCAGTGCTATTGGTATTCCAAAGCTTTGAATGAAGTAATTTAATTTTTTCAACTTTTTGTGCTTCATTTGTTTTTCATTTTGCTTATTGCTAGTACTGTGATGCCGAGTGACTCTAAAGCACCCTTGCCACTACCAAGCATTCATGCTGACCCCTTGCACCTCCAAGGGAAATTGATATGTCAGTCCAACCATTTGGAGCAACGTTTGCAGGAGCAAATACCCTCTTTGCCAGAGGGTAGCCTGTCCTTGTAAACAAACAAGTACTGAAATAAGTGCAGACCAGACCTTATTCACTGCAGAGAGCTTGCTTGCTTATTTGCCCACACCTTAGAATTAGCTCACTTGATGAGAGGCTATTTTCACTTACTTAAAAAATAAAAGCTGAGCAGTTAATGTGTTGGAAAATTTAGCAGGAATTTCCTAAAAATGTGTATTTTCATAAGCATTCATTACTCTTGTTTGATCAGCTTTAATGAAAAGCAGTTGAACAAAATATATCAGATGTTTTCCTTAATTGACGACCATGGCTTTCTAATTTAGAAGATGGTCTGATTGTTAACAGGTTTTCATTTTTCATCCTATGTGACTGCAGCCTTACATCTCTTTTTGTGCGAGAGGAACTGGCATTTTGAGATGTCACTGTCAAGTGCTGGGACTTTTTTGTCTCTGTAACTCAAGAATTTTTAGAAGTGTCAGATGATCCTTTTATGCTCCTAGATATAGAGCGCTGCCTAGATGTAGCTTTTGGAAAAATACCCTTCTTCAGCTAGAAATTTACCATTTTCTTGTATCTAGCTGCAAATGTTCTGTTTGTACAGAACACTTCTAATGATCAAACTGGATGAAAAAAATAACAGCGCACACAGTTGTGGAGAGTAGTGTTGGCTACACTGCACTGACAGGTTGGTAGCAGTTTGTTTGAGGTGTTCTGCCAGTGTGGCTTGAGGATACTCATCTTTTAACTAATCACACCTTATTTGAAATGCTCTGAATTTCAGCACTGAAGAAATGGCATTGATTCTTTCCCATCTGCTTTCCCATGCCGGGGGAAGGAGGGATCCCGAGATCAACACTGGGATGCAAAAGTGTGATGTGCTTATAGAGTTGCTTGCAAAGTCCAGGAGTCTGTTCTCTCATCTGTCTCAGAAAGATCCAGCACTCACATGCTAAGTGAAAGAACATGTTTCCATGTGACCCACCTGTTTTGGTGCTTACAGTGTGTCTTCAGTGGAAGAGAATATTTCTTTATTACCTGCAGAAGTAATTCCTAAATATCTCTCAACTGTTCTCTTTTTCTTGTGAGGCAACCTTCAAATCCTTCGGGTTATTGACCAACAGAGAGATCCCCAGGCTACGTTCACTTGTTTTGAACAATCCTGGGCTTTACCTGAAGATCTTTTCTCCCTGGAGTAAAATGCATGAAGAGTTGTGAATTCTTGCACTGAACTTGGCATCATTACTCTTTTTAAGTTAGAGAGATGCTGCCCTCCATCTTTTCCCAGTTCTCTTTACTTGTCATCTTTAGCAGTTGCTAACATGTGGGAATGTGTGGAGAATGTCAGAGATAAAAGTAGAGTTAACTAATAACGACTTCTTCAGGAGCTGCCTTTGTGCAGTCACTCAGCCCACCAATCTGCCCATTTTTCTTGATCTCTTTTTGTATTTCACGATAACGTTGTCTAGGGAAAAAGGGCTGAAGATTGTTGCAATGAATTTTTATGTAGTTGAAGTAGATGAGATCATCCTTAATCAGATATGCTCCTTCATCTCTTTGCTGGGTAGAGCTTTTTAAGTGCAATCCTCCAACCTGACTTCCGACATGCTGGATCAACAACATACAGAGAAAACTCCTAGAAAATGCCAGTTGCCACTTTTAAGAATAAAATACCCAAGATGGGAAGCAGGAATAGGTGTTGTGAAACCACACCAGCGGGCCTGCATAGACCATTTTTATCTTTGGAATTGATCCTGCAGGTCGTGGGGCTCTCTCATTTCACTGCGCTGAAGGGGCAGCTTTAACCACTTGAGTAATCTTGGTGGCTTCATCCCTTCATGCTGCTGCGCTCAGGAAGTGCCACCCGCCACAAGCCATGGAATGGGGATTCACAGAGCCATGGATTTGCTGGAGAAGGATAATGGTTTTATGTTCTGAAGCATCATAAGGCATCTGTTCCTTATGAAAATACATTCTAGCGGCATTACAGATGACGTTGGTCTCTGTTTTCTCTCTCAAGACAGTGGGTTCTGTGAACCTGATTTGAAGAGGTTCTTCAGAGTGATTGTTTTTAAATGTATTAATTTTTGGGTTCACTCACCATTTTCATGGTTTTCTATTACGAGTAAACCTGGGTATTCTTATTTGCCCTTTGTACTGCTCATCATTCTAACTTCCTGCTTTCATTCTGAAGCAGTCTCAGTCTTTGTTGGCATGCATAAAGAACCTGAAGTATTGGAAAGAGCTAGTTGCAGCAGAGTTTTCTGACTTCTAGTATTAATGTAATTTTCATTAGGTCAAAGATTTAAGTAATTATTTCTTGAGAGAAGAGGAAGGCTTACCTTCAGCGTTAGGTTTACCTTAGTCTCTACTTTATTCAACTTTTAGGTCTCTAGTTTTAAAATTCCGTATTTTCTGTGTCTGGAAAGGACAGAAAATTAAGGCTTATGGTTCTAAGTTTTCTATGGCTGCTGACTTTTGTAATGTACTGTAAATACAGCCTAATTAAACCTTTATGTACAGGATGAAATCAGAGGGAAGCACAGTGCTTTCAGCTTCTTTACTTTTTCCTAATAAATACAGCTGTCACAGTGAAGGAAAAATTTGGTATTCATAAACATCTCAGTTTTATTTAGTCACACTTAAACTAGATTTTGTAAGATTTCAGTTTTTACTATAAATGCTACTTCTTGAAATAGCTGTCTATAAGCTAATTTCACTTTCTAGCATCAGATAAGGACACATGAGTTTTGACAAGTTGAAGGCTATAGAAATTTTTTTGGGAGATAGATATCACTGGAAGTCTACCACCACATCTTTCATAAAGTGGAGGGAGGGTGAAGAAGGGGAAAAGAGAGAGTAGTTTTTCATTCTGCTGCTAAGCTTAAGGGGACAGATATTATTCTTCTAATGTCTGCTCTGCTGAAATGAAAAACTCACTGACAATAATCATTTCTTTGACCTACCTGTCTGCACCAAGAAAAGAGAAGCAGCCTGCTTTTTGTCTTAAAATGTTATGCACGTGCACAGCATGTGTCCTCTGTTTTGCAGAAAATAATCTGTTCCTTTGTGAGGCTTGAAATGTTAGACTGGTTTAGTTCTGTACGTGAAATTTTTGGTGCTAGATAGATGTGTGAAGCTTTTGCATTTGAAAAGCTGTCATGCCAGTAAAATATATTAAACTCCTTTTATCTTTTTTTTCTAAATTTCCTTATGTTCTCCCTTGGTGGCCCTAAGTTATCTACCTAGTCCTTGTTTCTTTTTCACTTCACTGTGTCTCAGAGGTGCTGTGAAGTACCCAGCAGTGCCAGACAGACAGCCTTTGGTTAGTTAGTCAGTTATCCAGCTAATTATTTCCTTAGTTTCCCAAGTTAAGGATCAACATTAAAAATTATGATGCAGTGTATTATGTTGAAGTCTTGCTACAGCCAGCTAGACATTTAAGTTGGCCTGGTATATTGAGCAGATTTTATTTTGAATGACAATGTGAACCTTGATCTGAGGTTTTGTCCAGAGTTTTGTGGATGGTGCTCTGTTGTTTTAGATGGTAAAAAGTGGCATTGATGAGCTCCCAAAGGTGAGAGGCAAAACTGCCAGTGCCCAAGGAAGCGGAAGGATTTTAAATGTTTATTTTCTTGCCAGTTGGTGTGCACAGAAATTGTTTCAGAATTGTAAAAAACGAAAGCAAACCCAATAAATTTTCCTGTCATCGTGGTTCTCCCTAAGGAAATGCTACATCTGCTGGCAGGACAGCTCAAGTAGCTTGATTTCTGCATAGCTCCTAATTTCCTGCATCCATATGAATAAAGTGCCTTGAAAGCAAAAGGCAAAGTCCCTCATGTTTTATTGTAGCCCTAAGATAGCAAATACTTAAGCATGTGCAAATGTTAGTGCTAAAATGAAGTATGTATGTGCCTCCATATTTCTGTAGTTAGTATCAAAGAGCTTATATATCCTTGTAATTTATACCTCACTTAAATCACACAGTGAAAAATTACATAGGAGAAAAATAAATTCTTCAATAACTGTGTTCACCAAGTCCTTCAGCTCCATGTGAAGTACCACAAGTACACAAGTAAACAAGTGTCGTGTCTGTGTCAGCTTGTTTGGTCTTAGAGGAAAAAGGATAACAGGCGAGGTACATGGGGGAATTTGCTTATAGACCTGGAATTTAAATGTTCTTACCCTTCTGTTTAATCATGTCATACGTTACATGTGAATATAAACGTAAGTTTCTTCTTAAAGAAAATTTTCCTTGATTAAAAATAGCTATCTACCAAGCTAAGGGAAGTTGATGAGAATGTGTTTTTACTTCATATTCAAAACATTCAAATAATTTTTTTCTCCTTCAACGTAAGGATTCAGTGAGAGATTTAATCTGAAGTGCTTTTCCCAAGCTAAGGGATAAACAGTAATAAAAACAAGACACGATGTATTTCATGGAATTTCAGCACAAGGCATAAAAAGAGATTGGTATTGCTGTAGTCTGTGCGACAGTGAGTTAAATTTTCTTTGGATTGTTAATATATGTTGCCAAAAGAATATTTTTCCTTTAAATAGGTTAGCAACAAGGTAGTAACTGTAATGCATTCCAAGTTTAAAATGCATTTATTCCATTTAGAGAGGTTCATTTCATCCTTCACTAGAAAGTTTGAAATGTTTGAACTCATTCAAGATAAAATTGTATTTTTTTGACATAGATTATTTTTAGCAGTATTTAGTACTCTTAAAATCACAAAGACAATGATCATGTAAGATGCCAAATAATTGAAACCCTTGCTTGTCTTGAACATTTAAACAAGGTAACTGGAGAAATGAGATGCTGCAGGCGATCCTGTAGCTGGGGATTATCTGCATTACCTCATCTGCTGTCCTCAGTGGCAGGATGAGTCAGAGCACTGCATACCATCAGATGTGATGAAACAAGATGCAACTCTTCTTTAAAAAAAAAAAAACCACCCAAACACTAATATAAATGCAGCTTGTCAAGACTTAGTGTCCTGGTTTTTTGGTGTGCTTGAAGTTCCTTGCTAACCTATGCATAGATGCATATGCATCCGTGGTGTAACGTGCCTCAAGGGAGTGCAGTTTCGTGGGGTTTATATATAAGATTTAGTTGAATAACACTGCTTGTGCATCCCTCCTGTATTGTGGTATCCTTCAGACAAAGGAAAGCAAGTCATCTCAACTTCCTTGCTTCCTATTGCTCTGCTCCCTTCTGGCACTGGAGGCTCCAGAGATCATGGTGATTTCTTTTGGAGCAGGGCTGCTCCTGCTGCCGTGTAGGGCAGTAACACAACAAATGTATCTGCAGCAAATGCACTGAGGTTTTACATGCTTCTGTGTTAAGGCTTGAATTCACCAAAAAAAAGTGGTTTTCTGCCTGAGTCCATGGGGAGACAGGGATGTTGGCAGTTTCCAGATCACTGCAGACTGCCATTGCTTGCTAGAATTTTCTCTCAGGTAGAGCATCTGCCCATTACTGAAGTGAACTCAAAGGTTTGGAAGGGCTACAGTCAGTGTGGCAGTGTCATGACCAGCACTGGATTTTGAAAGGTTTTGGTGTGATATCTGTAAATGGTAACATAATTTCTTTTCTCCTCTAGCCCTGGTCGCTCTCCGGTTTCCTTTGACAGTGAAATAATAATGATGAACCATGTGTACAAAGAAAGGTTTCCAAAGGTAAAGAATCACTTTTTGCATTCAATGAACTTGTGCCCAAGCTCAGGATTAATTTGTAGTGCTCGTTTGGAGGAACCCTGCTCCTACATCTCATTTCCAAGCAGTGCAGTTTGCTGAGAGTTTGAAGCTGCCTACTCAGCTTCATGTATTAATTCTGCAGTGGAAGCAATGGATTTAATATACATAGAGATTCAGATAGAAAAGGCTGAAAAGCTTTTTTTGTATGTATTTCATGTTTGCTAAATTTCTGATGTCTTTTATTGGCATGACAAATGCTTACAAGAGTGAGAAGAAGGGCCATGCTTTGGCTCTCTGTATGTTTTTAGCTAATACTTGTATTTTTCTTAAAATTCCAGATCAGATCAAGGCTGGAAGAGGGGTGTTTTGTTTATTTTCACATATACTTTAAACAGCTATTTTAAAGAGTAATTTCAAAACAAACTGAATAACATTGTCTTGGTATTCCTTGTATAACTGCATTAAATTTACCTTATACTGATCCAGACTTCTTTGGGTTTGGTAGGCTTTCCATTTACACGTTGGAAATGCAAAGTTTTGTTTTCAAGTCAGTCCTAATTATACTGGAGGCTTTGACAAAACCCAAGTTTGCCACTGGGGCTTTTGGTACTCAAGAAGTAATAAGGATAGATTAGATTTGTGTTTTTAGAAAAATCAAGCTGAACGCTTCAGTTACGCTGAAATGTGCTGAAGTGATCTGCAGTGAAAATAAGTGTGTTTGCTCTTTAAAAAGCTGAATATTGAAATCTGTGGAAGCAAGCTTTGAAAGTTAGCATCTCACTGAAATGAGTGTAGAAGACCGTGTATCCCACAGCTGTCGATAAGGCCATTCCTTCCTGTTCCACCACCAGCAAAAATAGATGTTCCTCTGGAGACAGGATATCAGGGCTTAGAGTGATAGAAATGCTGTGTGTCTGCTGCTCGGGGCAATGATTTTCAGCTTCCACGGTCCTGTCTAAAAGTTCTGAAAACTGCCTTGTATCTTACATCCTTACTCTGGAGACCCAGGGGGGAATACAGCCTCAGGACCGAGATATTTCTATGGTCATTTGCATTTTCAGAAAGTGTGTTTTGATTAATTTTTGTTGTTAGCTCATAACTTTTGCCTCTGATACGCTGTTTTTTACTCTCAGCAAGATGCTATTGTATTTTGGAATATTTTTTTTTTTAAGCCTCGTGCAAGTCGGAATTGCGAGTGTTGCTTTTAGCGCCCTGCTCGTTTATGTTTTAAGATCTGTGTTAGTAAAATTCAGGGGTAATTTCTCTTTGTTCTGTACTCTTAGGCCACGGCACAGATGGAAGAACGGCTGGCCGAGTTTATTGCCTCGAATGCTCCGGAGAACGTGCTGCAATTAGCGGATGGGGTCCTAAGTTTCATTCATCATCAAGTTATTGAACTGGCCAGAGATTGCCTAGATAAATCACGTGAAGGTCTTATTACTTCTCGGTACTTTTATGAGCTGCAGGAAAACTTGGAGAAACTTCTCCAGGATGTAAGTGCTCTCTGAAAAGTAGAGTGTATTATTTTGGTAGAAACTTTAACCAATAAGCCAGAGCTTTGATCTTTAGGAGAGAAAATGCTGATTCCAGGGGAGGGGAAACAGGTGGGAGTGTCAGAAGATCTGAGTTGTACCAGTTTGCTGTTGTTCTGCTATGGGTGAATTTGAGTAAATCATTTCACCTGCGAACTTCATTTGTAGAAAAATTAAATATGCATATGAGCAAGTCAAAGGCAGTCTTTGCCATTTAAGAAAATTGAGTTTATTCAGTTGAAGGAAATTACTGAACTTTTCTTTCACAAACTTCAAGACTCTGAATGACTTGTTAATTAAAATAGTGCCTTCAAGGAGTGAAAAGGCCATAGTTTTTGGTGTTGCTTTACATTTTTCATAAAAGATTTTCTTAGCTGAACTTAATCCAGTTGTGGCTTTCAGTACTTCTCTGTGTGTTTTGTGGTGATGAAAGCATATGAAAATACACAAGGGGGCACAATTTTAATGCGTGCTCAGTGTGCTTCGGGTACTCGTTAAAAATTGTTCTTATCCTGTAAAATGACAATAATATTAAATCTAAAAATCTCTTAGAATTTATGCTATAACTGTTTTGAAGAGTCAGTGCTATTACCAGTTGCTGGGTCCAGACCTCTGTTTGGGAATTTCTTCCTAATCTTCTGCTTTGATTTAGTGAGATAGCAAGCTGAAAAGACAGGATTTATAGAGATTACAGTCTCAGATAACAAACATCACAGAGACATCTAGAAACAGAACACCTGAAATCATTTGTTTTCCGTGATGATTTTTATAGTCATTGATCTGCCTGCCAACCCACTGACATGAGTTGCAGTAGCTTGTGCCTCTTTGCCACTGTTTCATTAGAAAATGGCAAATGAATAAAAATACTGTATTAATGTACAGTTGTTGTATTACAAAGCTTTGTGAAAGCTGCAGAATCTTCCCTTGTATCAACTAAAATTTTTGGCTACCCCCTTTATATGAGTGTGACTGTAATTTTCCTGGTATTTATTATGCGTGTGAGGAAAATGCATCACGTTTGGATTTGTGGTGTTCTGCTTGGGTGGGGAATATAATTTTAACAGATCAAGAGAGGTAAGGAATATCTTTTGAGGGTCTATGTGGTTGTCTGCCTGTGGGATATCAGTAACCACTTGTGGATGCATGTGGGTCCCCCTGGAATCTCTGGAGTCTGGAAGCAGAGTATTTGCACGTGTCAGCTGTGAAATAAAGGGTAAGGCCTCTTTGGGTGATGGTTTTGAAGCTGGAAAGGTTTCATTAAAAGTGGGTGTATACACTTTGTGAAATCACTTACATTTTAGGGGTGCAGGGGGACTACAGTGTGTTTTACTGTTTCTGGTAGCACATCCTTGGGGTCTGCAATTCTCCCTCTCCTGGACTTTCCTCCTCTGTGCGTGGACAGTGATTTCTCATACTGTAAGGAATTAAGAGCCATAAACTGGGGCTGACCACTTCCAGTCTGCATTTTCAGTCCTGTCTTCTGGCCTGAAGAGGTTAATCAGGATCCCAATGGAGGTGTGGGTCAGATAAATCAGCTTTTTCCTTTTCTCCCCTCTCCCTCAGAACAAATCCTCAAAACACACTTCTTAAATGTCCTTTTCCCCTTGATCCTATGGGCATTATACTGCTGCTCTGAAGCACAGGGAAAGGTGACATTTTACTGTTATTAGAGAAGATACAATGGTCATCTCGGAGCTTGTTCGGGAATTGAGGTTGACCCCTTCCTCCTGAACATCTTCTGCAGAGAAGGTGAGAGAAGGGTCAGCTCTCAAGTTTAATTGATTTACTGTAGGAAGTAAGGTGGGCTAGAAGTGATTAAAAGGAGAGTTTAGAGAGACAAGGGAGGCAGAGCAGGCCAGAAGGAAGAGAACAAAGACATTAAAGACAGCAGAGGAATGCCAAAGGTTTCATTCCACATCTTTCTAATTTATTCTTTTTCTGTCTTATCGTAGTTCCTTGGCTTATCTTTTTTATTTTAATATTTAAAAGCTACTTGTTTCTTCTACTTCCTACTCTTTCTTTGCCCTTCAAACTGCACTCTACAAGGAAATAATTGGGACCTTTCAGTTGAAATATATAGAAATTGGTGATAATATTTCTTTTGGATGACTCATCTGAAATTGCAAGAAAGTTTGATTATTCCAAATGTGGTGGCAGGGTCTTAACCTTTGCTTGGCTTGTGAGGTATCACACAGTTACTCCCTACATAAATAATACCAATTGCAAGGTCATCCAAAAAGCTCTTTGGCTTAGGCAGTTGTATGGTCTGTGCAGCAGGATATGTAGTTTTATGGTATATTTTTATAACATATTTAAAGGTTGGGAAGATGCTTTATTGGTGAGGAATGAGGTCAGCAAGTGGCAGGAATACCCATGGATTTTCCTACAGTATTACTGTGAAAGAATGGATTCTCCTGAAATTCTTTTTTAAGGTGTCAATTCCGACACCTCGTCACAAACTAAACTTGCACAGCGTTCCAAACCATAGAGAGGAAACTTGATTTAATAGTTTGAGTCTACTTTATATTGTAAAAATATAAACCAGAGTAATTGAGTATGTAAATAATGAGCTGTTTAAATATACCAAACCAGAAAGCTTTTAGAAGGTTTTTAGATCCTGGCTTTTGTAATAACATGCCAGCAAATCTCTTTAGTTCTGGCAAATGAGATCTTTTCCCTTGTTTGGAGCATGAAATATTGTCTTTTAGCCAGAAAACTTATTGCTTATTGCATCATTGAAATTATCACGAAGCAAAAATGAATTTAAGAAATTTCCTTTATTTTGGAAAACATGAGCTTGAATGTTACACTTCACATTCAAAATAAAGATTTTGAAAAATAAGATAAAGCACTTATATAAAAAAGAATATACAATATTCAGTTCTTTATCTGTTGCCATGGGTTAGAGGATGGGACAGGACCTCAGGTTACTGGGAAACAAAAGATTATAGTCTGTTATTGCTTGGCTGAATTGATGAGGTAAAACTGGCCAGAGTTTTACTGGCCAGAGTCAAAAAAAGAAGTCTAATGACTGTTGTGTAGGTGTAGCCAGCTGGTCAGGAAGGTGAAGGATTACAGGTGTTTCTGTGCATGGAACAAAAGAAACAGGGGAGGGTGTAAGTATTGTACTGCAGTGACTGATGGTGCACGTTGGCAAATGGATATTCTGATTGGGATTGCTTTCTTAATAGGAACCTGAGTGTAAATTTATTGGTTCTTGGCTTTTGCAGGTCTATTGTTTTGGTTTCCATCAGTATATTAGCTCAATTACGGTGTTGTGACTTGCATATATCCCAGCTATTGGTCCTGCTGAACCCCAGGGGAGGACAGTGATTTTAATTTCATGCCCCAGTAGCTACAGTTAGTGACGGATGGGTCTTTCAGATAAGGCAATGGGTTTGTAAATTAGCCGTCGCTACCTCCCCGTACACGTGTCACCGGCAATGTGTGCAGGAATGGCATCAGCCTCTCCCCACAACCCCATCAGCCTCTCCCTCCTCCCCTTGGGAGGCGGAGTGTGTGTGTGGGGGAACCCCTGAAATGCCACCAGCATCCTTCAGGCAAAGCGTGTCCTCATGGGGAGCTGTGGGTGAGGTGGCACGGCTGGTACCCGGCAGGTGGAGGTGGCAGGCAGTGCTTGGCTGAGGAACCCTCCGGATCCCAGGCTCTGTCCCTGGGACAGGCTGTAAACAAGACGTCTGTAGGGATGTCTGGGCTGTCCTGTGTGCGGAGGAAAGAAGAAGAGGCAGTTTTCCTGAGGATCTTGGAAGAGCAGCGCTGTGCAGAGATGATGGCTGAGTGGCTGTTACAAGTTGTGTTTGGTTTTTGTAATTAGGTTTTTTTTTTTCCTTTTGCTTTTCTGTATCATTTGGCAGTCACGGTCTGGCTTTTCGTTTTCAAAACAGACACCTGATTAAATTAGTTACGTTTTTAAGTTATTTTGCCTGAATTGTCATAGATGAGAAAAGGAGAAAACAAAAGGACTTGATTTAAAAGACTGAGGTTCACTTTAACAATATAAATGGATGCAAAATGATGAATTATATCTGTTCTATTATATTTTTACATAATATAACCTATGTAGAGGGGAAGAAAAGGACTTCCCAATCATATGGCTCATATTTCAAATAATAAAAAGTTGTTGATGTTTTATTTATTAATTTCAATGCAGCTAACCCATGGTGATCTGGAATGGCTTTTCAAATATGAAAGCATTAATTTCTTTCTAGAATTCATATTTTAACTTATAAGTTTGCATAATGCATTAGAGGACACAAAGTGAATACTAATAATCTCCATTGTGATTATTTTCTATTTTATAATTAGCAAATACCTTTTAGTTAGGGGAAAAAACCCTACAACTTATTTCAATACTTTCAAAATAATCCATTTTTTAAGGCTCTGTAGCCAGGAAGGATCTGTCATGTTTTTAGGTAATGAACTAGCACATACATTGTTCTTTTCAAGGTTAAAATTCTAGCCCCAGCTAATCAGTGCAGAAGGAGACAATCAACATTTCTATTCTGACCTCTGTCAAAATGAGAAATAATGAACTTTTTAATTTTTTTTTTTTTTGGTAGCAAAGTATCAGAGATATATTGTTTAAAATGCTGCCTGTGTATTTATAGCTCTGAATTTTGGCTTCCCTGTGTTTTTATTGTTCTTTTAGGTGATCACCACTTGTGATTTGACCTCTCAGACTTCTTTTTCTTAGGTGGTGCTAGTGAACAATGCTAAATGAACCTTTTATTTTATTACTGCTTGCATCCTTGTTGACAAAATATCATTCCTATAAGCAAGGGGCTCATTGCCAGCAAAACCTCACTGGTTAAGTTCTGAACTCTATATTTGTGACTGTGTTAAAGCATAATTGGGGAACCCTGGGAGAAAAATAACTATACTTTAAGAGTTTTTGCATGTCATTGGAACCACCTTTTTATCACTCTGCAATGAAACACTATTTTATTTCTGCTCCAGGACTCATAATGTAACCATTGTGTGCTTCAGCAAAAGAAGAGTAATTTGGGGAGCTTGTTCAAATTTGTCCTTGGGGGACTTTTTGTGTTGGTTTTTTTTTTTTTTTTTTTTTTTTTTTTTTTTTTTTTTTTTTTTTTTTTTTTTTTTTTTGTTTAAATTATTTTAGTATGTTTACTGTTATAAAAAGACACTGTCTCAGACACACACACACATGCATATATCTTGAAACTAAGCCTTGAATTTTTACTGAAATCTGGTAAAGTAGCAGGCAGGAGTAAATCCTCTGAAATAAGTTTCTGTATGCTCTTTGCTTTGCTTGTCTGCTTGGTCCTACATGGCATGCAATGCAGTGCTGCATTTGTTCAGCAGGATTGATAAAATTAAAAAAGGAGAAACTGAAGTTAAGTTTTTCTTGATGATGAACAGAAGTAGTTCAAATTCTAGCTGACAGTAAAGCCTAGAAATATGTGTGGCTGTTAGTCATTACCTAGATGTCAGTGTTGCCTGGAAGGTAAAAATTGAAAAAAATCAGTATTCCCCTTCTCATTTAAAAAAATAAACTAAAGCCACATTGCATCTAATATAATTGATAGATGATATAATGCAAATAGAGCCTTTGAAATATCTCTTGCATGATAATAGGAGTCAGTTGTAATGGAAAAGCTCTATGTGACTTGGCTGAGCTCAGCTCATTGCCCGCCCTGACTCCAGTCACGCTTCTGCTGCTGAGTTATGGTCGCTGAGCTGGGGGTTGCTCTGTGTTCATCACCTGGCACACAGAAACGAAGAGTTCAGTGCTGGGCCTGTAATGTGATGTTCTGCTCTCCACAGGCCCACGAGCGATCCGAGAGCTCCGAGGTCGCCTTCGTCACCCAGCTGGTGAAGAAGCTGATGATTATCATTGCTCGGCCAGCTCGGCTGCTCGAGTGCCTGGTAAGTGTGTGCAGGATCTAAAGAGTGGCCTGTGTGTTTGAGGAGATAAGGAGCACCAAGCCTTCAAGAGAAAGCTTTAAATTCTCATTAAAATGTCGATGTAAAATAAATTGATATTTAAAAAAAAAAAAAAAAAAAAAGAAGTGCTACGTGTCTTTTGAGTTAATATGGAAGCATCTCTCTGATGGACTGTCAGCTGCAACTGCAGCTAAATTATATTTTGGTGTAAAGTTTATGGAGGGGCCTGATGTAGGTGTTGGCATTATTCCATGCTATTTGATGCCACCGGATTTTCCTTCTGTTGTTGGTAGCTACAGTAAGGAGCCTGTAAACAAATGTATGGTGTGAGTACAGTGTCCAAAACACCGTGCTAAGGAAGATCTGTCACTAAGGAAGAAGTTCCCTACCATTATATAAATGGTGTTTGGGCTTTTGGACTCAAACCCTTACTGTAGACCAAGCAATTGAAGGGAAACTTGGTGCCAGGTTTTCCCAGCTGTGATCACACAGTGGGATAGAGGAGTGTGAGATCCGAGGAGATTTAGAAGCCTGGGTTTGAAATCCTATTTGGTGCTACTGGAATTTGTGCAAAAGCAAGTCTCACTGCTTTTTAAACAACTTAATTTGGTTAATAAGAATGTCTTTTTTAATTTAATTCTATAAAATGGTGAAAAGTGTTTAGGCAATCCCAATGAAATAGTCCACTGTGTCCTGAAGTCCTGCAACTCCAAAAATATTTTCTAGGTACAGTGGAGAAACAGCCTGAACACTCATTCTCACTGTCATGCCACAGCAAGAGGGTTAATATAAATCTTGAATATATATGGGAAGAGGTGATCAGGCCTCTTGTATACACAGCTATGTGGTGTTTTTTGGTTATACGAGTCAGTTCAGTGACTGCATTTCAAAAGGATGTTGAAAAAGTGGTTTAGAGTATAGGGAAGAGTCAGGAAAAATTATGAGAGTGCTGGAGAAGGTGTCACAAACCTACAGTGGAAACTTATTTAATGACAGGATGAAATTCCCTGGTGTGTCAAAGCACACACATGGTGGTTCTTTCTGGACGTTAAAAAGGCAGAGATGCTACATTTGTTTCAGTCATTAGAGAAGTTGGCTAGATTAGGAATCCGTGGCTGGGTATAAATGCACAGTTAACATGTGAAGAATGTTGAGGGCATTCATGATAAAGTCCATGGGTGACTTTATCCTGGAGTCACTAAAGATGATGAGTTTTGCAGGGATTTCTTTGACAAAGTCGACAAGAGTGGTCAAGTCTTTCCAATGGTGCCAGTTTTTGGAAACACCTGCAGAGGTCCTAAGAACGAGTAGACTTTGGAGGGTTCTCTTGGTCCTCCTCCATGCCCATCAGATGGATTGCTTTGCTGGGAACCCTACAGTAAAAGGAAGACCACTGTCAGTGATGAAGTAGGCTGCACAACCAGCAAGATAAAAGCCTACACTTACTTATTCAAGAAGTCTCCCAGATTACATTGAAAATCCTGGGCTCACCTCCTTTCAGACTGGGAGTTCTTTGATTTTCAAAACCATTTTTGTGATTTAGATGACTTTTTGTGACTTCAGTTATCTTCCAGCACTTCTTCAATTTTTTTTTTGAAGTGAAGGCAGTGAAGAAAGGAGACAAATTTAAACTTACCGTGGTTGTATTTGCTGCATTCACCACTGTCATTTATGCTTGTGTGCACTCTAACAGTAACACATCATCTAGGAAAACATGAAACTTCAGTGAATTTTATGCATCCATCTCTGTACCTGCTAAGAGTTCCAAACTCAAGGCACCTCTTAGCTGCAAATCAGTGTCTCCAGGTTCCTCTATGTCTTATGCACCTGATGTTCTGTAAAGTCAGTGGGAGCAGGTGGAAGCAGCGAAATCACTGAGATTTGAGTAATGAATTCCAAAGTATGTGGTGACAACCTTGACAATGAAGTGGCTAGAGTCCAAAGTATAAAAATAATATTTGGATCTCTGTGTTAGCCTTCCTTGTTTTTTTTAACCTGCATTGCCTTTCTAGCATTTTTTTTCCAAATACGTATTTTAATCTGGTGACACGAAGAATTAAATATTAATGTTCCTTTTATCCCATAAAACAAGAAATATAGTAATGGATAGTCAACCATTTAAATAGCTTTTGAGAACTACATCTCATTTTTGTTTTTATATACTTTTGTAATTTAAGTTTTAGCTTCAATTATATGTGAATTTATAAGCATTTTTTCTACAATTTAATATTGAGGTTAATTTCAGTAACACAGCTTCTTCTTCTTTCTTTCTTGTAAATAAATGACCATATAAGCAATGCTTGTGATGGTTGTGATTGTTTTAATGGAGTTGAAGGCGTTAAAATATTCTAAACTTAAGCTATTTGGCTTCAGTCTTTGTTTACCTGTTGGACTGTGAAACATTTATTGACAGAGTGAATCTCTGGGGCTTCAAGAAAACAATAATGTGTTTTGTGCATCTCTGAAACTAGCTTTGTGAAAAAGTGTCTAATTTATTCTTTTTTCAGTTTATTTTACCGTAGCATCTGCCTCTACATAGTAGGGATCATTCTTCTGTATTTAAATGATTAAATCTACTATAAAGAAACAAAAACAGGAATTTATTTAATTTCTTAATTTTTGAATGTTTTAATTTTCTGTCACCAAGTTTGTTTTTTTTTTTTAATTCTGTCCTTTACTCACCAATAAATGATTTGCAATTGTACCTTGAGGAGTCCTTTCTTGACTCCAATGTCCCTTTCACCTTACTCTCTGTATTGCGCTGTTGACCATCTCTTTCTGGTCTGGCTCCTGCTCTCTGCCAGTTCTGAGAGTGTTGATTAATCCTTTTCCAGAAGATTTTAGAAGGAACTTTGTTTCTTGCATTGTTACTGTCTTTGGTGACATCGTCTATCCAAGCAGCATTACTTGGAGCAATCATGGAAAAGTGCATCTGTTCTGTTTCTCTAACCATTCAAATATCTTGACATCATTACAATCTCTAATTTCCTTTTCTTGTTTGCAGTTCTGTGCTCTCTTTTCTCTTATGCTGCTGACCACACTCACATCAATTCTTTACTGATGTCCTCACAGCTGTGTGTGTAACTCTTCCCCTTTTATCCCATTTCACTGGAAAATATTTGAAGAAACTTGGTGAAGCTGCTCATTGCTGGTGAATGATGAGGTTTGTAGGGGAAAGCTAAAGTTAACTAGTGAACTTGCTTCTAAGCAGGCTGCTCCTGCTGCCCAAGCCTTTCTTTTATTTCCTCTTGTATCTGTTAGTCCAGTAAAAGAGATCACACCTTCTATAACCTTTCCTGGCCTTAGAGATCACATACACCAAGACTGAGTTCCTAAGGTGATCCTGTACTATGTTAAAATAGCAGTTGTTTTTTTATTAATAATTTTATTAGCAATTGCTAAGGTTGGGACAGTTACAGGATTGGGTGGGGATATGGTTTGATCAGAAGTGACATCTGACAGCAGGAAAGGTTTATGTTGTGCTAAGTCACCTGTCAGATAGAGGTGGCAAAAGGTGGTGCCTCAGTCCTCATAACAGACCTTTCCCTGTCACATCTCAGTGTGGCAAAACTGGGAGGTGTGTCCACACTGATGCTTACATTATCAAGACCATTTTATCTGATAGTTTGGGCTTGGTTTGTAAAAAGTCCCTACAGTCTTTGTCCTGTTTTGGTTTGCAGATCTAAGCCAGTGGACACCCAGCTGGATGTAACTGTCTGTTGTTTTTGCAGAGCAGAGTGGGAAGAGAGTTTCTGAGGAATCTCCTGTTTGGAGGAGAGACCTTTACCTTCATAACTGCGAAGCTGCATTATTTACCTCTCTCTGTTTCTCTCACTGCTTTGCTGTAGGAGTTTGATCCTGAAGAGTTCTACCATTTGTTAGAAGCTGCAGAAGGCCATGCCAAGGAAGGGCAAGGAATTAAATGCGACATTCCTCGTTATATTATCAGCCAGCTGGGACTCACCAGGGATCCCCTGGAGGGTAAGAACTCTTGTTTTGTTCTTTCCAAACTGTTGAAAGGATAGCCAGATCTCCTGGTCACTACATAACTGAAGGAGGGTTTTATTTTATTGCTTTAATTTCTAGGCCATTTTTCTTTATTTTCCTGTTTGCTCTCAAACTCTAGACTGTCCTTTCCAGCCCCATGTCCCAAAGGAATGTTGCTGGGATAAGGATTGCACATCAACAGTGACAGTTCTTTACTTATGATGTTAATAATGTCTCCCTGTATTGTAGCTGAAACAATGCTAGAAAATGGCTTTATGATATAACTGTTTTCCCTGTGCTGTTGGACAGTAAAAGTTAATCTTACCTGTTATTTTTATGATCTGCCTGCCTGCTAGTGGCCTGGTTGGAAAGTATCTTGTCATCCCACTTGGTTGTCCTCTCTGGTAAAAGTGTGTTTGTTGTGATTTTCCACGAGAAACCAAGATTAGCATGAATTTTTAGGTGGAGGTGAGATTGTGTTTTTACATGTTGCATGGCAACTAAACCAAAGAGGGTAATGTAAGGACATAAACAGCCTTTCTGCTAGGTGCCAGAATCGCCTCTGGTAAATTTAATATAAACATGCCTTGGCCCAAATGAGCTTAACTTTAGAATTAGTGAGTTAATATTTCTGCCTGGCAGTTTTCTAGCTGAAATGACAAGTTTTCCGAGCATTCACAGCGTGTTCAGCAACAATAGAAAGTGTGACAGAGACTGGAAGTTACTGTGGAATATTTCAGTGATCTAACCATACTTTTTGCTATCTCAAGAGAGCATAATATTAACATAAATTAGTAGTCTGGCTAGGACTAGTTTAACTTCTGCAGTGTTTACTGGAATGACAGTGACAGGTTGACTTCAAGTGAAGAGCTCTTTGGGAAAATTTCTACCAAAGATTGCTAAATGCAATTTAATAGCATTTGTTGAAATCTGACATTAAAGGGAAATTTCCTTTGATCCCTGTCATGGGAGAGAACCTTTCCATTGCTAATTCCCCTTACTAAAGACAAATTTTCTTTAGAAATGTGTGGAGATGTCAAGGTGCCTCATTTCCTTTCTGTAAGGAGGGCACCCAGAAATGTCAGTGATGTCTGTTCAGAGACTAGTAGTTAACGTAGGATTTGGGTTTGCAAAGTTTACAGCATCTCCTACGACAGCTGAGTAGCCTAAACTAACTGACTTTCTCCCACTTTGCTGCTGCTCAGCATTTTGCAGAATCAGACCTGTCTCATGTAGGGACCACAGTTTGAAATGTGATGCTTTTTCTTTCTGGAGCACAGAGGTGCCACCAGGCCATATGCAGACATATATGTATGGACTAGGTTTTAATATTAACTAGGCAGCAGTTTCCCCAAACGTGCATTTATTGCTTTTACTTATTATAGAAACCATGTAGAATAAGTCAGGCTGAAATAAGAGCAATTAATTATATTCATCTCTCTATAAAATACTGCCTGCAGCGTACAAGATGTTAAAGGTTATCGCTGTATAATTGGGGTGACTTTTTACAGAGGGGAAGAATGTCCTTCATCATCTACAAGCACCTCTTAAAATCTTGTTTTTCTTGTATAAACAAAGAGAATACTGTTTGATTGAGATCATTAGGAGTAATCTTTCCTCTTTCTTTTCAGAAATGGCCCAGCTGAATAGCTATGACAGCCCAGACACTCCTGAGACAGATGATTCAGTCGAGGTAAAGCAATAATACACTCACTCTGTCTAGCACTTTTTTTTTTTCTATGAAAAGAAGTAGTCTACAGTAAAGAATTAATTATAATGCAGAGTAATTTTAATTAAAAAAAAAGTGCTGACATTTAAAAGCACATATTACAACTAGAATATGCACTCATAAAAATGTGGAAATCTTTACACAGTGGTGGTGAAATGCTTAAAAGATGCAAACAGGCGTTATCACCAAGTTTTCTTGATTTTTTTTTTTTAAATTTTATTTTTACAAATAAAAATCATCTGGAGGAATTCTTTATATCTACTTTTGTGCAATGTGATGCGTATGGAAGAGAGTTGACTTAAATAAAAAGCACTGGAAAAATTTAATTGTGTAACTTGCTAGGTTTCTTAGTTGTTCGTTTTACTGTTTTGTTTTTTTTAATGTAATATTGAGGAAGGACCTGAATCTTATAGCCCACTGACTTTTTGTGCTAATAATTGTGGAGGGAATCCTCAAGCACTCTAAGGATACAGGCAGTTGTCCTAAAGCTGAGGACTCCAGAAGTTTAGAAATGGATTGAGTTGGAGTTAATGGTGCTTAAAGAAGCAAAGGAAAAAAAAATATATAGAATGAAGTCATTCCTGCTCCTGATTTCCATTTCCTTGTTGTGTTTCCCCAGAGCCGTGGGGCCTCTGTCCAGTCAAAGAAAACTCCATCTGAAGAAGAGTTTGAAACTATTAAACTGATCAGTAATGGTGCTTATGGGTAAGGCTTTTAGACTTTCCATCAGAAGAAAATGCTATTGTTGTCCTACCCAGCGAAGGGTTGTAGCAAAGTTTGACAAATGCCTGCATTTTGTTGGGTCCAAAGCATAAATTAATTTTGCTCGGTTCTTACAGAGGTTCCACACTCATCATATCTTCTGCATTCTTCTGGGAGGTGCTGTTTCTTTCAGGTTCCTGGGGTTTCTTAGACACCAGCTCCTGTACCTGGGCATAGTTCCTGGCTGTGGAGTCCTTGCATTGTGCTGAACTGACACATTCTGCAGCTCAGGGATCTTTTGTAAAAGTTAGTTGCCCTACATTAAAGCTTTCAGGGACAAGCTTTCTTGTCCCTCTGTGGCACAAGTTCTCTGAAGCCCTTCCTGGCTGATACAGAAAGCCTAGTTTTCCATTAACTATTTCTGCACTATTTCTGTGTGACAAGTGGGTAAAATATAGACACTTCAGCATCTTAGCTTGAGATGACAAAACCATTTTCCCTAAACATTGTCTCTAGGGAAAATGTTGCCTCTTAGTTTATTGTGAGATTTCCTAAGTAATAGTAAAAAAATTGTAGTACCATGACTCATAAAATTACTTTGCAGCAGTTTGTTTACTGCTTATCAAGGCAGTTCCTTTCATGCTGTCTTGTTAAGTTCTGTGACTTGTGTTTTGTTAAAGGCTAAAGAGTGAGGGTAAGTTCTGTACCTGCAAATATTATTGATGATTGATTGAAACAGCAGGAATATTGAGGAAGAAGTAGTTTATGCTTTTCCATTCTTCCAGATTGTATGTATAACACATGTAGCTGTTTGTGAGCACTTGAAATGCTAGAATTACACTGGGGAAAATCTACTGTGAGGAGCTCAAAAAAGCCATTAGATTTTATTGTCCATTGAAGAATCAAGTATGAATTCAGTCAGCTAAAACTTTAACTGCTCATACAAACCTATCCAGAATTTTAAAAGACATTTTCTTACTCTTTGCAGTTCATAAATCCTTACCAGTGAGGTCATTAGGCTGTTACTGAAAAGCAGTGATACTCAGAAAGTCATAACAACAAAATCTGAGCATGTGCTTGAGTGTTTTGTGGAAGTGGGTGCTTAGTTAACATCCACTCACTTTTTAAAAATTATATGTGGAAAAAGTGTAAGGATGTTTTTAGTCAGTGAAGACACAACAGAGCATGTTGAAGAGCCATATTATTAGACAAGAAGATTTTATCTTTTCAGTCATATTTCTGCACAAGCCCCATGTAACTTTGTAAAAGGGGAGAGAGAAGCTGTTACATCTGTCTTCATCCTGGGTGTATTTTATAGTCAGCTGCTGGTGAGGCACAATGCCATGTTAAATGTAATGTACTCCAGAGAAAAGGAAACAAGTACTGATTCAATAAGGCAGGCAAACTGGATGAAAATTTTATTTGCAAACTGTATTATTAATGTGCAGGAATCTAATGATCTGCAAATGATAGAAATGTAAGAGTTACTTTACTGAAGGAATTCCCCAGTGACAGTGCTGCATCAAATTAATTTTATGGAGCTTGGAAATAAATCGTGCTGATTCCATACGTTTTTGACAACTTTTTAAAGAGAAATGGTGACTGTAGTGTTGAGAAATAGATGTTTCTCTGCAATGATGCTTAAGGAAGTTTGTGACATTTGTGTTTGAAATATCTCCTTGTTAGGCACATCAGCAAAAATATTGCTTTAGTCAGGAAGGCAGAGTAGCTTTGGGAAGGAAGCATCATGGGGCTCCTTCTTTTCTAGGGAAGCTTGCCACTGAAATGGGACTTTATGGAGTCATGGATAACTCTGTTAAGATCCATTCAAAACAGTTACAGTCCTTGTTTAAAAAAAAACCCAACAAAACCACAAAGAACTCCAAACCTAAAAGCACAACAAACCAGCTTGAACTGAAACTGGAACTTTTCCTCTTGGCGCGTTGTTTTCCAGGGCGGTGTATTTGGTGCGGCACAAGACCACCCGTCAGCGTTTTGCCATGAAGAAGATCAACAAGCAGAACCTAATCCTGAGGAACCAGATCCAGCAGGCCTTTGTGGAGAGAGATATCCTGACGTTTGCCGAGAACCCCTTTGTGGTCAGCATGTTCTGCTCCTTTGAGACCAAGCGGCACCTGTGCATGGTTATGGAGTACGTGGAAGGTACGGCTGTCACTGTCCACGCCGGCCCAGGGTCCTTAGGTGGGATGGCTGCATAGTGGGAATCCCTGTGACTGATCCAACATGGCTGCAGTGGAGCTGAGCAAACATAAAGCCACATGTAGAAAGCTGCTGAGGTCAGAAGTCAGCATGAACTTTCCAGTCCTCACTGGAAAGAAATCCTCCCGCTCTCCTATGGGATGGCACGGCAAGATCCATAAAAACGTTTGCTTGGCACTGCAGTTAGAAAAAGGCATTTTGAGAAACATAGTCTTTGTTCTTCAGCAGCCTTTTAAAAAATAAACTGCTATTTTATGCTGGGGTTGGGTTTTTCTTTTGTTTGTTTTGCTTATCCTTTGGAATATAATTTGATTTTGTTTTATCACTGTATCTTATTGTAAGCAATATTTTTCCACTGGTGGATAGGATTAATTTCTTATGCCTCACTTGCTTGGCTGGATGAGAAATAAGCTTATAGTTATTGTATCAGTGCTCTTTCAGATAAATTAGTGGAATGAAACCAGAGGTATTGACAATAGAAAATTTTAATAATAATTCCTCTTCGCAAGTAGTGATGAAGGTCAAATGAAATGTGTGGCCAATGTTCCTTAAGGAACCTGAATCAGGGGTCCACAGGCTTATTTCCATGTCTACCATTGTGTCCAAAGGGATGGCTGCCTCTGCATGTGTTGGGAGAGCCAGTTAGGAGTCGTAGAAGTGTTTACTTACTACTTTAAGAAGCTTACATATCAGAAATAGTATATTACTATATTATATTTGAATATTGCTACGCTAGTATATATAATGTATATACACACCACACATAATATATCACTGTATTACTGTATCAGTAACTGTATATTTCTATATTGATAGTAATAGCCTGGTGGTGGGAAGCAAAGGAATTTATAAAGAGGCCAAGCAGTCATGAGCTGCCCTTTCTTCAAGGCTTGCTTACAGTTTGCAAATGGCATCTGTACAGTCCTTGTGCAGGCCAGCCCAACATACATGGATCTCAGTTCTCCTAAGATTTTAGTATTTGGTTTGAGTTCAAGATGGATTGTAGAGAGAGATTCAGAATTCATATTAAGAGGGTTGAGAGATACAACCTTTAGAAAACTTTGTCTAATCTAGTTTTGCAGACCCCTAGCTGATTTTTCTTCCTGACATCTACCATTTCACTGTGCCACCTGTGCCACTCTTTTTCTAGGAGGTGATTGTGCTACGCTTCTCAAGAACATTGGTGCCCTACCTGTTGATATGGCAAGGATGTATTTTGCTGAGACTGTTCTGGCTTTGGAGTACCTACACAATTATGGGATTGTTCACCGTGACCTAAAACCTGATAAGTAAGTCTTTAGCCCCCCCTCAGAAGGTGGAGGGGCAGAGCTAATCCTTCAGGGGCTTTCTCTGTAGGTGACGGGACAGGGGAGATCTTCAGTGGCATCTCACATGTAGGAGATTTTGTGGAGTCTCTTGCTACTGATGTAGAACCAGATAGGCACTGAGAAAGGGTGGGAAGAATGTATTTAGATATTATCTCAAAGCTGTTGCTGCACTGATGAAATTATGGCAGAAGGTAGTCTCATTCCTAGTTGCCTTGGCTGCTCTATGATACTCAGTTGCATAGGAAATTTCTTCCAGGTGTTTAATAGGGATGTAACACTGAGATCTTAGCACTACCTCATGTTCTTCTGGTTTTTTAAATTGCTTTTAGGAAACAATTAATTGACTGTTGGATTATTTTACTTCTCTTTCTTCTAGTCTCCTGATAACTTCCATGGGTCACATTAAACTAACAGACTTTGGACTGTCCAAAATTGGGTTAATGAGTCTTACAACCAATCTTTATGAGGGACACATTGAGAAGGATACCAGGGAATTCCTGGACAAGCAGGTAAGCTGAAAAATTTTGTCCATTGATGTGGGATCAGATGCAGCATTCTGTCTTGGGATGGAATCAGAGTTTGTAGCACTCCTCTGCCTCCACGCTGTGCTGTGTGTTGTAGGATGGGAGGAAAAGATGTAAGTCCATTCTAATGTTTGTGCATAAATTGTTATTGTTCGTTACTTCAGTTTCTTGTTTTGGAGTGATGCACTTTAGCTCTTACTTTAGGATTTTGAAAGGGTGGCCCAGGCAGCAGTTCGGGTGTAAACAGAATTTGGTTTAGGGATGTAACGTGTTGTGTTTTGCTGGAAGGTTGTTCCACGATCTCCCCCTTCTGGTGCTTAGAAAGTTCATGGCAAGTTTCTATATGTTTCTTGTAATTTTGTCTAATAGCTTAGACATTGATTTATATCCCCATGATATTTACTCTAAGGGTCATTTTTCTCCTTAGCCTTCATTTTGCTAGGCTTAACCAGCTAAGTTGTTCCAACTAACACGACAGATTTTCCTTTGATGAATGAAGAGCTCTTCCATGTACCTCTTTAAGTTTGAGTTGATGTTTCCTGGGCACAGCTGACAGAAACTGTTCTGGATGCAGGCTCACCAGTGCCTTGTATAATGGGATTAAAAAATACTTCACTCCTCTGAAAACACCTGAGATCAGAGCTGAGTTTTTCTTTTTTAGCTGTGCCAAGTCTTAATTCATAATGATCCTGGGTTACTGTCTTCCTTTGCTTCTGAATAAGGATGCTTTTTCTAACAGAATTGTCTTTGGTCACTAGATCACGGTCTCGCACTTTGCAGTGTTGTATTTTTTTACAACTATTTTGTTATTCTTGTTGCTGCTTCTAAGCCCCAGGCAACTTAGATCTTCCAATGTGATTTCCTTAGCTGTTGTCCATGCCAGCTGTACCTCCCAAGTTTAAGGCTGAAGTGTGTAATCATGCTGTGCTGCTAATTCTGCATCTGTGAAACTAAATTCTGCTAGCACAGAAATGTGAGAGGTTTGTCAAAACTCAGTTCCTGATAGCTGTTGCTGTGCCAGCAGACATCCATCAAGCAGACAGACCTTAACACACAGAATATGCATTTTCCCCATATGCTTTACTTTACATGCACCAAAGAACTACTTAGCTGGCACGTCCACACTAGGAACATTTCATTTCATGTGGCGTTATTTCTGTGCAGGCAGGTAGTGTGTCCTTCAGATACAGACTCTTGCTCCATGGAAGTAGCTCACAGCATAAAGTGGTTAGTGGCAAAACACTAATAACTTCCTTGTAAAGCTCTGAGGGGGGAAAGAAAAAAAAAAAAGACCAACACAGAAGTAAGCTTTGACATGAATTTGGCAATTTGTAAATTTATGGCTTTCTTGCATGTTTCTCTTGAGGTCTGTGGGACTCCGGAATACATTGCACCAGAAGTGATCCTGCGCCAGGGCTATGGGAAGCCCGTGGACTGGTGGGCCATGGGAATTATCCTGTATGAGTTTCTGGTTGGCTGCGTTCCTTTCTTTGGGGACACACCTGAAGAGCTGTTTGGACAAGTGATCAGTGGTATGTACATATTTCTGCTCTGGCTCTGAAGGGGTTTCAAGGTGTGCTGTGAAGTAAAACCTTGAAAATATCGAGGGTCTGCGGTTTAGTCAGGAAGGAGCAGGTATAAAATAATGGGGTTTAATTTTTAACATTTCTAACTTTCTGGGTCAAAGTAGCATCCGTCTGATTTCAGCTATGGGAAGTTGATGAGTTGCTTAACATCTTGGTACATAGTTCTGTCACTGTGCATGGTGTGGGAGTCGTACAAACCCTTGTGGGACTGAGGAAAAATATTTGAGGATTTTTCTGTTCTGTCTTTTAACTTGAAGTTAATTCTCGATTTAAGTTCATTCTCCATTCTCCATTCTTTGATGGAGAATGTGAAAGGAGCAGCCACCAACTGGTCTAATTCAGTCTGATTTTGATTATTGTTTCTGTAGGTCCAAAAGCCAGTCAATTAGTAATTTTGTATAAATGAAATAAAAGGAAATTCTGAATACAATACATTGAAGCTGTTGTACTTGTTACCTTCACGTCTTGTGGCTTTTAAAACCTATCTCCTTCTTGCTTTGTGATGATTGCTTCGTGTTCACTCAGTGAATATGCCAGTGAAAACATTTCCTACTGGGAAGGCTTTCCGAAACAGTAAATTTTTAACACACTTGGCAAATGTCCTCTGTAAAAAGCAAATTTCAGCAAAGAACTAAATATGATGCATGAAATCATTACCTGTGAATTGTTCTCTCTGTTCCAAGTATAACAGCTGTGGAATGTGCAGGCACGAGATACAACCACAGTGTTGTCACTGTCATTGTTTATGGATTGTCATGGAAGTCCCATTTCATACTTTATTAATAGAGTCCTTAATGCTTTTTTTTTTCTCCACAAGCACTGCTTGGATTGACAGCAGCTTTAACTGATGCTAAATTTTATGCATTTTGGAAAATGTCAATGCCTGAATTATATTAAGTATGCAAGCTGCTGAATTCAAGGTATTTACGCTCCTGGGGCAGTTCTGAACACTGCACTTTGCATTAGAGGGATGTGAATGGTTATTCAAATTAGTCAGGAAGCTGGTAGAAAATGTCAAGTCTCTTTTTGTCCCTAGATGAAATTGCCTGGCCAGAAGGTGATGATGCACTGCCACCAGATGCCCAGGACCTCATTTCTAAGCTTCTCCGACAAAATCCTCTGGAAAGAATGGGAACAGGTATGATCCTTGTGCGTGTAGGAAAGTGGCCAGAAGCAGGAGAAGTGGTTACCTTGCCAGTGATGCACACACACCAGTGCTGAAAAATGCTCATCTAGAGCTGGGGCACAGTTTATACTGGATTCAGTGAATCTTGTGTGATGAAGCTCTGAGAATTAGTGTCAAATGTTCATGAATCAGACAGATATTGCTGTCTAGTTTGGGAAACGAGAGGGGCACTGTCAGCTTGGCAACATAGCTTCTCTGATTTGTGCTGTTCCATTATAGGCTTGAGGGTTGTATCTCCATTTGAGCAGTGTATAATCAGATTTCTTTGAAATTCTCTTTGACTAGGGGCTTAATCCCCACCATGGATGTGAATTCCTGGGTATAATAAAATGAAAACTTTCCCATTCCTAGGGACCTGTACTGTAGAGTTCTCCAAACACACAGCAAAGTCTGATAAACTTTTTGGCTAAGCCAGATCTGTATGTCAGTCTTTCTGTATTATAAGGTCAGATTTAAAGTTTTACAAGCCAACACTTCTTGTTTCCTCATAGTAAATAACCATAAATAATCTCTAGCTACACCTGTGTTTTAAAATAATCTGTGTAATGCTGTGGCTTCACAGCACAGCTCGTCTTTCATTGATGTCATTAGTTTGATTTAATTTGGGATTTTCAATTTGAAACTAGACTTTAAGGAGAAAACCCATATATATACACACATATATATATACCCCCCACATATATGTCATATATATATATCCCCCCCATATATATATATATATTTCATATATATATATATGAAATTCCAAGAGGCACATGTATTCAACAGACTTAGCACACGTGCACACAAGGGTGATGAATAGATCATGAATTAATAATGCTATCAGATGGTTTTCACATGTTCTTCTCTACTTAAAATCCATGTACTTGAAAGATGTTGCTGTCATGGAAAAGATGTAGTTTCTTGCCTTATAAAATGAGTTGATGGACTGATTTCTTTGATTTCTTATATACCTGTAATGCTGAGGCTGCTCTTTCACTTGGCGTGTTGTAGTGCCACTGGCACTCAGCAAACCTTTTATCTCTTTTCTTCTGCTTTTTCTTCTCTTTTTAAAAAAGACAGTAGCATCTTTTATGAATATTAATTTCATTTGGAAGAAAATGCACATACTGGTAGACAGTCTTTAGTTTTTCCTTCTGGGTACCCAAGCTTCTGAGGTTAATAACAAAAAGATACTAATTCAAGAAGATTTGTAAGGCCTTGCCTTGTTCTAAGCATATGAATGAGTTTATTCACAACAGTGGAGTCACTCATATGCTAAGTACCTCTCTGAGTTTTCTCTCTGTATTCAGTTATGAACAAGATGAGATTTAGAATTTGGAAACTTTAAATTAAGATGTTAATCATTCTAAGTCTTCCAACTTTCTGTGGAATATAAATAGCAGATGCTGTCTTCCACCCAGTTTAGTCATGTGTTGTTGTTAAACAGGAAAAGGAGGTGGGAAGGAGGAAATCTTGTTCAGATTTTATCCTGCATGACCACTTTGGTAAAAGGATAAGTTGTTTCTCAAAATTCCTGGAAAATGCGTGACTTAAGTGTACTCGAGTACATTCTCTTAGGCTCTTGATATTTTTAGGGTTTGTTTTTCATGTTATGCAAATGCTGAAAGAAATACTCTGCAATAAAAGGTGCTTATTTCAGGTAGTGCCTTTGAAGTGAAACAGCATCGGTTCTTTAAAGATTTGGACTGGAATGGATTACTTCGGCAGAAAGCTGAATTCATCCCACAGTTGGAATCTGAGGATGACACAAGCTATTTTGACAGTAAGACTAAAGATTTAGCCTAAATGGCATCGTATTTCTTGTGCATATTTCATTTTTGAAATTGCTAGAGATAAGTCATTGTTAGAAATTGAATAAAACCATTGATGGAAATTGCCTTAAAAAGTTTCTGTTGAATGCCAAGTAAGGTTTCTTTGAAGGAAAATTAATTTTAAATGAAAAAATGTTGCTGCTGAAGTCAGTTGGCCTTTCACTGGTGCCTGTAGTCCTGCCAGCCATGGCCCTGCGGGGAGAGGTGCTGCCGTTGTCATGCTGGGTTTATTACACTTCTTCCAAAGCATTTGGTAAATCCAAATTCCTTGAGTTTTTGAGCAATATGATCTTTCCCTAGTGACCGTTTTCAGCCAAAAAATGTTTTTAAAAAAACCCAAAACAAACCCTAAACCTTGAAGACAAGTATGTAGGGAAAATTCTTAAGAGATTTAAAGTATTTTAAATTATTTTCACTGCAAGTATATCACTTTAGTATTATTAACTCTAATGTGATATGAAGTGAAGTGTCTGTCTGGTGTGTATAAATGTCTGGGAACTGCCATGGTATCAGTGCTGTGTAAGATTCCTGGTATTTCAAGATAAGCAGCAGACAGAGTCAGTGCTCTTGGGAGAGAAGGGAGGAGCGTCATGGGAGGGATGGAGATCTCTCTGTTCCCAGAGCCTCCACTCCCTGGGTTTTCTCATTTGACTGGAGGAGCTGAGCAGGTGGAGAGGGTTTGGACTTGTCACTGGGACAGGGGATCTTTTCCCTACTCCATCTGCAGAACAGGATGATACTGGGCTATTTCAGTTCCCTGAGCTATGGAGATTTCTGCTCTACTTCAATGGACTCTCTTCCATCCTTGGGCCATGAGACTGGTTGACTTTGTATGAAGCACATTTTTACTCAGCTCCTGCACTTTGCTGGGGGAAAAGGGAAGGAGGGAGCAGCCTGCCTGCAGCCACTCTGCAAGAACAGTGATCCCATTTAGACAGTGCTCTTCCAGTTTGGGGAAGGGGCTTTTAGGTAAGGGGTTGGATGGAGAGGTAGGATGGGAGAGAGAGAAGGATTGAGACATCTCTGTGTGGTTGCTGCAGAGACCAGTTTGAGTCAAGCTGTGCAGAGGGGGCAAAGGTGGATTTTACACCTGTTGAGGTTTTACTGGTACAACATATAGGTAGAAACCAAGGTGGTGGGGTGTTCTCACCACTAACTGGACTTACTGGACATGGAAACTTGAGCTCTGGTCCACTCAGGTTTGGGCCAACGACTGGGAGAGGCCCAGTAGAGCAACCATGAGCAGATGCTGGTGGGTAAAAGCACCACGTTGTGTTCAGGGCTGCAAATCACTGGTCTGTCAAATAGGGAATGATGGTAAACCCTCCATGTACCCAGGAATGCTCAGCAGGTTGTTGGGGTGACTTTGATGTGAGTCCTTTATAAAGGCTGGAATTCTCACGTCAGGAAATATCTCACAAAGACACTGATAAGAATTGGCGTTGCTGTTATGAACCCTAATGCAAAAAAATTTAGAATTTATAAAAGTAGCTTTCTGGCTGATATGGTGCCTCAGATTTGGCTCAGTGTAGCTATCAGCTTTCTGTAGCCAAACTTATTAACGCCCACCCTACAAAATCCGGTGTGGCTGGCTTAGAAATCCAGTGCTGCAAATCTCAAAGCACAAAATCTCTTTGGAGGCAGTTTAGATTTTTGCATTAAAAATAGCTTTGCATATTGGCTGCTTGCCCATTTTCTTTCACAAAATCTAATCCTTTTTCTAGTTGTAGGAGGGAGAAGAGGAAATATTTTTTGGGGGGTAAATATTTTCATTTTTTAAAGTGGGCTCGTATGTACGTATGCGGGACAGACTTTGTACAATCAAAAAGCTGTTTATTGGAAAGTGGCACAGTGAATTGTTTCCATGTGTCCTTCTGTATGATTGTTTGCTGTAGGGAAGAAATATCCCTCCTATGAAGGGTCTGCAGGATGAGGCAGCTTCTGAGTATCAGCTGCTTTCAGAATGTAATACAACTGATGGTATAAGATAAATTCAGTGCCAAGAAGATATTCACTGGTAATTGCACAGGATGAGCAAAACTGGCTGGGTATGTTTCAGTATTAAGGAAAATACCCCTTTGTGGTGTATGAACATTCGAAGTTCCTTAAGTAGACCAGTAGGAATGCTTGAGGTGTGAGTTATCAACACTCCCTGCACTGACGCAACGTGCCATGTCTGCTTCCCAGCCCGTTCGGAACGGTACCAACACCTGGATTCAGAGGAAGAGGAGGACACTAATGATGATGATCACGTGGAAATTCGGCAGTTCTCCTCATGCTCACCGAGGTTCAGCAAGGTAGGAGCGTGCTGACTTGATGAAAGAAAAAAATCTAGAGAGGAACACGGTTCCGTTGCTTTGTGTGGAGTACATTTTAATCATATGGGTAGTATGTGGAATTGCACAGCATGTATTCCCTGAGGAAAGAGAAAAAGTGTGTGGTGTTTATTCTGTGGTAGTTGGAGGCCTATTAGAAGGTGAGTACCAGAGTAATTGGAGAATGACATTTGTATTTCCTAATGTTTCAACAATATGCAGGTACTGCAGAGGTCTCTTCTGCTTCTGATACACTTTGATTTACTAATGACTTGGATGCTGGCACAGGGAGTATCCAAAGCTTATTTGCTTTGAACAGTGTCATTCTGAAAGGGTCTTCCAGTAGGTGACAAGATGGTATTGGGATGAAAATGGATTCTGACATTTGGAATAATGATTTAAAATCAAAGGGGGTAAGAACAAGGGTGAAGTTTACATCTCTGCTGCTGTTCATTGTCTCAAATACAACCTGAGGAACAAAAGGCAGGGTGACTATTTCAAAGAGCAGGTTCTGGGCATATATTGCCTCATGAGTTACATGTGCCAAATTATTGAAGGAAAAGGCAGTTTCCATACTGGGTTTAGCAGTAGGAAGGCCATAGCTGGGGTTTTCTGGCCTATTCTGGGCGATGTTCTTGAAAATAAGCATGGACCAGTAAAAGGGAGTCCAGAGGATAGCAACAAGAATGACCTGAGATCTAAAACATAAAACCTAACCATACATAACTGCTGGAAGGAAAGGAGTACATCGGTCTTCCTGTTCTACACAGAACTGATATTGAAATGATGGGTGCAAATGAGGTATAGGGTAAATGGTAAGAAAAAGCTTCCAATACTGAACAATAATTAAGTGCTGGCACACGTTGCCTGGGGAATTTGTAGAGTTTCCATCTCTGGTGATTTTTAAGAACAAGTTGGGGAAGCATCGGTCGGGTGTTAGAAGAGAGTGAGTTCTGCTCTGAGGTGGGGAAATGGGCAGGAAGCCCTGAGGAGGTCCCTTGTAACCACACGTTCTGGATTCAGGGCTGTACAGGCCTCTCATTCATACTCAGGTGTTCTGAAATAAAAAATTGTAATTACAGGCATTTTAAAATAGTACAACTCCACTGTTAGCTTGGATAAAACACAGTATGTCTGGGAGGGGGAGAAGGGAGAAGAAATGCTGTTTTAAGGCTGGCTACCCTATGAATTGTATTTCCCTCTTAGTGAGATGGGAGTAGGAATTTTACTTAGGAACTCTGAAAGATATTTCATTTTTTCATGACAGTTCCTCCAGTTTTTCCACTACTGAAGTAAGTTTTTAAGGACCAGTTTGTTCTTCTTTGTCCTCAGCCAGGCTACAGTGGTTTAAATAACAGTTACTCTTAATTTTTTGGAGTTGCTCCTGATTTGCATCATCAAAAGTATGTTTAAAATTGGACCTGAGGATTAGCTGGTGTTTTGAAAAAGTTCTTATGAGTACGTAGGGGTTTCTTTCATCTGCCTTTTCTCACCATGAGTATTATTCATTTGTTAGACTGAAGCTTTTCTTTAGGGTTCAGTGTTTTTGCCACAAAGAGAAAAAGTTCACTTTTAATGAATTTTTTTTAAGACCTGGAAAATTATACAGCATTTGTAATGTGGGAGGCATAAAAGGCTCATTATATTTTGAAATTCTTGTCTGACAATTCAGCCATATGATTTATTAATAGTTATCTTGTTGATGCTCTGAATTTTTAATAACATTATTTTCATTAATCTCTTCTTATGTAAATTAGGTCCACAGTCAAGTGTAGTTTTAAAAGGATGGATTTTTTTTGCTTAATCATTTAATTATTTAAAGACGGCTGTAAAACCAAGAAAGGCACTTTCATTAAGCTGTCAGCCTTATAGTAGATTCCTTGAGGAGGGCAGGACTTTTTTGTTCTGAAATAAGCTTGGGGCAATGCTGATAGACTGATGATAATGAAATGGGGTCATGAGCATGATGCCTATCACTGAAGTGAATTTGTATTGCAAGATTTCAAGATCCAGATGCCAGCCCTCAAGAGTTTTGGAGCTGTCTTTTCAGCAGTAGTTCCTCTTAGATTTGAGAATCATTAAAACAAAACAAAAAAAATCAAGTAATTTCCAAAAGTTTTAGTATTTCTATTGTGTTTTCAGAGGAGAGGTGTTGGGTGCTATTGTAGAAAAGCATGTTTAATGCTCCCGAGGCTTGCATTTTGCCTTTCCTCCCTGGCACACCTCGAGCATGTCACATCTGCACTGTGTTATTTGGTCAAAGAACGTTACCAAGTTCATGCTTTCAGAGAACACCTTCCATTATGAGAAGAGATTTTGCCCCTTGATCAGAAAAGGCCTTGTGGGTTTGTTTTCCCTGTACAGAGGGATCTTTTCCTATGCACAGGTGTACAGCAGCATGGAACGTCTTTCCATCCACGAGGAGAGGAAGACTCCACCACCAACTAAACGGAGCCTGAGCGAAGAGAAGGACGACAGACTGGACAGCCTTGGTGGCCTGAAGAGCCGAGACCGCAGCTGGGTGATTGGGTCTCCTGAAATGTAAGTCCTGTAGAACTAAGTCTTCTGGTTTCTCACAGCGTCTAAAGAAAGGCCAACCTGTGCCAAAACTTTCTGTGACCACTGTTAGGTCGATATGTTGTATTTCCACAGGAGAAGCCTGGAATAGAATAGCTAAAAGTGAATGTGTGGAAGTGATACAGTCCTTAAATGTATCTAGTTAAGTGCTAACATCTTCTGAATTTGTAGCAAGTACTTTTAATGAATTCAAAGGTGTTCTAACCTTAAGTACAGGTTTCCTTTGTGGAAAGACCACTTACATCAGAGAGGTACCCACATCAGTTTTTTTATTAAATTAATCCTAAGTCTGGTAATGCCAGACTTTTACCATTTGTTACAAAGTAGAGAAACCATTAGGAAAGTTCAAAGTTTCAAAAGTTCAGAATATGCTCCAAAAATCTTGTACTCTAATAAAAAAATGTCAGTAAAATATATGAATACCCAGAATTTGAATGGTGACCTTGTTTCTAGCATTACTGAAATAATTGTCAATTTACCTTAAAAATGGGATATCTCTCATTTTTTTGCTTTTAAAGTGTAAAGCTTTTTCACTAACGTTTGGCATTAGAAAGAGCATAAAGTGTGGCAGTGACCTAGTCTGTGTGACTCCATTAAAAACAAAAACATTTTATAGATTACACTCTTGACTGAGGTGCACTTCATCTTGCATCAGGCCTTCCTGGCTTCAAATTTACAGCAACTCTGAAAGAAAAATTCACCTAAATCCAAAAGGAGCATGGATGATGATTTGCGTTTTATAATGTGATTTTATAATATATAATTATAATACAATTATAATAATATTTATAATATTTTTATAATATTGTATTATTGTATTTTTATATTTATAATATACAATGTTTTTATAATATTTTATCAATATAAAATTATTGTATTTTTCTAATGTTTATATATATATATCTATTTATATATATATAATATATAATGTTTTATATACTATTTTATAAATATAAAATATTTATCTCTCCAAAATCTTAGATTTCAGTCCTGTCACTTCAATATTTTATAAATATAAAATATTTATAAAATATTTATAATATTTATATTTTATAGTATCATGTTCATTGTACTGTATTTTTCTTTGGTTTTATTCCTTCCTTTCTTAGAAGCTTGACAACGGAATATATTGGAAATCTAAACTCATGCGATGCCCCAAGCCTTTTGTTGTTTTAAGTCCCAGTGGTGAAGCTTGGTTACCTAACTTCCCCTTAAACTGGCTTTGGGTGTGTGAAGGTTCGTTTTCCCCCTGGTTTAACCGGGGGGGGCTCCGTCTTGGTTCTTCTCTTAGATTGCGTAAGCGCTTGTCCATGTCCGAGTCCTCGCACACGGAGAGCGACTCCAGCCCGCCCCTGACGGTGCGGCGCCGCTGCTCGGGGCTCCTCGACATGCCCCGCTTTGCCATCTCCGCGGAGGACGAGGGGGCCGCCCTCAAGAGGCCGCAGTCCGAGGGGATGCTCTTATCCACCGTGCAGTCGCGGGAGGGGCTGCCGGTGCCCATTCCAGAACAGCCTGTGGAGCACGAGCTGCCGCTGGAAGGTGATGCCGGACCCGCCACGCCCTCCACGGCCGCCAGCAGCGCCTCGACACTGACAGGTACGTGCTCGGTGTGATGGCGGTGCCCAAGAAGGCCGTGTCAGCTTGCAGAGGTTAACTCTGTAAAACTGGGTCTGGGTGTCGGGTGATGTGACTGTCTCATGCTGAGTGGTTATTTTAGTGCAGTTCTGTGGATGTGCTTGCCTTCGAAATAATAGAAGTGGTTTCATCTCTCCAAAATCTTAGATTTCAGTCCTGTCACTTCAAATTGATTTAAGTCTTCTCGTGCTTGAGACCCGTATGATCTATGCCTACTTACAGCCACTGGGTGCCTACCTGAGGCAGCATCAATTTAAGCATTAGTCAGAACAGATCACTGCTGAGTTGGAGCTGGAGAACGTGGGGTGTCAGCCATACCAACAGGTCCCTGCTTCATATGGTTTTATTCATCCCAAGAGTTTAGAGTAGAGACTTGAAATATGCTGGGGAAGTGGGGCTTGCGTCAGGGACATGCTACTTTCTGTCACAGCCAAATATGCCAAAATTCAGTCAGTTGGAGGCTTAGAAGAGTGCAGCCTAAATTTAGTAGAGTGAATCTTAGAAGTCAGTGTTTGACTTCTCAGGAACTTCTACTGTCCTAGGGCTGTTCTTCAGCACTGGGCTGAGCTGGACCTTCCCTGTGATGGTGCCCTGGCCTATGGTAGTGCAGGACTGGGGTGCTGGAGTGTCCCCAGCTCCTGTCCCTTTCAGGGCACAGGAAAGGCGGGGAATGGAGTTGCCTGTTCCTGTCAACAGAGGAGGCCAGAGCTGGGAACTGCTGGGAAGTAGTGAGGAGAAAAAAAAAGGAAGTTTGGACTAACGGAAGAGGGTGGGGAAGATGAATAGAAGGTTGACAAGATAATATTTGAGAAAGAAGGCATATTTAAGGAAAGGACTAGATTGTAGTGTTGAATAACAAGGACTAACTAGGTAAGAAAATAAGTTGCTGGGAGAAAGTAGGAGCAAGCAGGCAAAGCAGTTGCCTTGGGGATGGAGAAGGAAGGGATACTGAGCAAGGACTCAAAGTGGCAGCAAGAATGGACAAGGTGGAGGACACTGGGAAGATGTGGTGGATTGACAGCAGAAGGTGGAAATCCTTGGAGGAAATTTGCTCCAGAGTAAAGCCAAGGATCCCCACATCTCATTATTCTTCTGCAATCCAGTCTGTGAAATTCAGAATTGTTTCATTCCCCTCTATGGCCCATTCTCCCAAAAGAGGCCTGGTGCTGCTGTCACGTTCTCCACTAAGCCCAGGAGAAAACGTGCGGGAGTAAAAGGAGTAAGCTACTTCATACTTAGGTGCCATAGGCGCCATAAGTGGAACCTTAGGTTCTTAATGTCATACTAAGAGCCTAGAAACATGCTATTAAAAATGGCAAGAACACTTTCATTGCTAATTCGAGTATCTACAAGTTGAAGTAGGCAAACGTGGAGCTCCCCTGGGCATCCTGCTCCCCTGATCTTAATACATCAGAGCAGTCTTTAATCTAGTGCATGGGATTCAGGGATACCATTGCTTTGGTGTCCCCAAGTCAGAGGCTTGAAAGGAGTTTGATTCCTGTTACTGTCTCGGAGTACTCCTCTAATGTACATGGCACCTTTTCACACGCAGCCTCCGAATCCGGGTTCTTCATTGTCTGGGAGCCTGATTTGAAACTCTGTGGTTGTTAAATGTTGAACAGGCATCTGGCACTGAGGTCTGTGGGAATGCTGCTCTGAATTTTTATTTTCGTGGTACTTCCTGCTTTACTTAGTATGCAGAGCAGTGGTGCCCACTTAAATAACGATGATCAATGTTTTGTTCTGTCCTCATTGTTCAAGATGTGGCCCTTAGGCTTTATTTATTGCACGCTGCTTAAAATTTGCTTTTGAAGACAGAATGATTAATTTCCCTTGTGGACTTGCTGTGATGCTCACCACTTTCATTTCTAAGCACCTTGTTAATTCTAATTACTGTATTTTCACCGTGCTCCTTTAAGGTATCACATGGGGACTGAGACACTGGACTTGAGCACAGCACCTCAGCCCTCTGCATCTGCTCTTGTTACATGCCTGGTCTGATCTTCAAGATTACTTTGCATTTTCTGTATAATTATAGCAGACTAAATTGCAATGGTGCACAGAAGGGGGCAAATTAAGATTGTCTTTGCAATCCACATTTTTACTCTCCCTGACTTTAGTACCTTAGTGTTCTTTTAGACTGGATTTTTTTATGTGCAGCTCCAGTAGAACCTGGCTCTTATATTACAGGCAGTTTTAACTTAAAGATTGACAGTTCTTGCTGGTTGTAAAAATGGAGCACTTTCCATAAACCTGTTTTCATCTGTGAACGATCCCATTGAAATGGCGTGTGGAACTGCACCACAGCTTTAGGATTCATGGAACTGCCACTGAGCAATGTGATTTCATTAGCGAGCTTTTCCACAGAATAGAAGCCGCTAATTTTCTGTGTTTGGAATAACACCATTTCTGTAAATAAAAATTCAAGCCCTGGGGTTTCTTCTTAGGAAAATTTACTCTTGGACTTCATGTAAACATGACTTTGATTTAATGTATTTTGCCTGTAGGGGAATAGACTGTTAGGAATTCCCTGTGGTTCTAATCTGTTTTAATTTAAACTGTAGCTGGGAGCACTGCAGATTTCTCTGATCCACGAGCTCGCAGTAATAGCAATGAAGGCCCAGACTTTACCACTCCAAAAGCCATCAGCGATTTGGCAGTGCGGCGGGCACGACACAGGTTGCTCTCTGGGGAATCAGGGGAGAAACGTACCTCGAGACCTGTCAATAAAGTGATTAAATCAGCATCCGCTACTGCCTTGTCTCTCCTGATTCCCTCAGGTAAGAAATGCCTTGAGTGAGGCATTGTCAGAATCTGCAAGCACTAAACAAAAGGTCTGCAGACAGATCCTCCCCCTTCGCTCTCCTGGAATAATGCCTTGCCTGGCAGGAGGGGAGAGATCTAACTTTTACTGCTCGCAGGTTGATGAGCACTGCTGTGCCACAGACAGGAGTGTTGTGTGTGTGGTCTGACTGCAGCTTCTGCAAATGGCAGCTGGGCCCTGTTATTTCCCTGGTTTTGTTTAAATTGGCTCCGAGCTGGTCTCTTGGTGCTTGCTGCAGCAAGGAGGTATAGGGACACAGAATGATTTTAACCCTCGAGGTACTATTTTTTGGGGGGGGGGGTGTCACATGCAAACTATGGCAGGAACAAAATGTATTTGGTGCATTTCTGGTGCATGCACTGGGAGGTATCAGAAACTCCAGATAACTTGTTTGAGATTGAGTGTTCAAGAGTTGAATAGTGTAAATAACTCACTGAGTCAAAGCTGAACCACTTACATTGTTGGCCTGGCTCTGTCTACAAGCAGAGCCAGACTTTTACAATTCCCAAAGCCAGGTGGTAACTCCTAGAGAACAGCTTAATCATACTGAGCTACGACAGACTGGTTCAGCAGGAGGAGGCTTGCCCCACAGGGACTTTGTCCCTCTTTCCAGAGGATAAGACCATGCTGTATTTCCAGGGCTGTACCTGTTCCTGCCTAGATGGGAACAGGGAATAGTGGGCCAACTGAGCAGAACCTGCTGGCAGAGCGATGCCCACATGCCTCTCTCAGCCAGAGAGCTGGAGGCAGGGAAGCACCTGCTCTTGGCACCCTCGTGGTGATGCACATCACATTTCTTGTGGTTTAGGCATCGGTTGCTTTGCAAACTACAAACTCCCTCGTGAAAATCTCTAAAATGTGTATTTAATCACCCAGCAAAGGTTCCTCCAGAGCTGCTCTCATCTGCCAGGTAAATATGTGCTGGGCGATTCAGCAGGTGTTTCTTAATGGATTAGAGATTACCCTTCTACAGCTGCATTTAATATTCCTGCTCTTTGGGTTTATTTTACTGATGTTGACCAGCTTCACTTTAAAATGAGAATTTTGTATTTGCTTTGTATTTTAAAATGTGGATGTTGTTCCAGCAGCAAGCAGAGTCAGATAGTTTATCTGATGGTTCAGCCCACAGCTGTTCGTTTGGGAAACTCACTCTAAAATACACTTGTGATGTTGTTTTTCAGCAGCAAAGTCCCTGCAGTTGCTAATTTTTTAGGGTTAAATATTCTTGCCCCTGTGAATTTAAAACACTACCAAAACTGTCTAGTAGTTGTTGTCTGATTGTCTATTGATTTTTTTTTTTATGTTAATACAAACTGATTTGGATTTATCTCAGCACCAGTGTGTAACTTGCACCAAGAGATGTCTGATCTTTTGTTGGAGGATATTATGTCATAACCTGGAAACAGAGTGTTCCCGGGTTGTGCCTATGGCAAATGCTTATGGTGGGTTGTAAATCCCAGCAAGAGAAGTAATAAACACTGTGACCCAACCATAATCCTGTATGAGCAGTGCTGCTGTATTAAATATATATTTCCAAATGTGCCTTTTCGAAAGCTCTGCCCATTTTTATATTATGAAGCATGAATGAGATGAAGCTGCAGACAAACCCAGCTCTGGTGAAGAAACCACAAGCTTTTAAGAGCATTGGGAGAGATGGTTTCTTAGCTGTTCTCTAACAAGAATTTTCTCTCTTTCGGAGGCCTGGTTTCCTAATTTTTGCCCACCTTTGTGTCATCACTGTAGATCACCACACGTGTTCTCCATTGGCCAGTCCAATGTCACCTCATTCTCTATCCTCCAACCCATCTTCGAGGGACTCCTCACCCAGCCGCGACTTTTCTCCTGCTATCGCAAACCTGAAACCACCAATCATCATCCATCGGGCTGGAAAGAAATACGGTTTCACTCTCCGCGCCATTCGCGTCTATATGGGTGACAGTGATATCTACACTGTGCATCACATGGTCTGGGTATGTCTCTGCTTTTCTAAAAAGAGTACCCTTGGGGCCACAAGTGCGTCTAGCCAAGGTTGTGGGATTTAGCTTTGTAAATTGTATTTTGCCACTCCGTTTTCCCTCTCCTTATTCACACTCGAAGTTGTCCTTTTGGGGTGGGGGAAACCCTTTGTAAATAAATGAAAAAATAACGGCGTTTTGGGTTTTCCTGTAGGAGTTTTCAAGCCCATCACAGAACCACAGCAACCTTTCTTTCCTTCTTTTTTTCCTGGTTACATGAATCCACCACCTTTCACCTGCAGCACATACTTTAAAGCATGTTTCTGTGTACATACCTCTTTCTCTTTATTGGGGGTTGTTGCATGAGGGCCCGTTGTGCCTAATTTATTCAGGCTCGTGCTAGTGATTATAACCTGCTTCTGATCGGTTCAGTCTGCTGGGGTTTTCCAAGCAGTCGCTTGGAATTGATTACAAGCCTTAAAGCATCACTGCTGCTATGCTGATTGCCATGGGATTTAGCTCTTGGCTTAGTTGTGAGCTGTGCTAAAAGGTCTGGTTTCCATGGCTGTATCGCTTCCCTCCCATTACTTCTGGTACTTGATCTCTGTGTTCCTCTTTTATTAACATAGATGACTTCTTGGAATGATCCATTCCCCGAAGCAGTGTTGTTAGGATTGTGTAGTTAGGGAGAATGCAGTAAGGGTAAAAGTGGCCCATTCTGTTCCTTGTATTTCTGTATTCATCAGACAATTTGGACTTCATACGCTTTGGTCATTTTTTAACACTTATTCTTACCTAGAGATATAACCTGAGGCTGCATTTTTTTCCCTTGCCCCTCTCTTGCTTTCCTTGAAAAATGCTGAGTTTACCAAGATATTAATTTGGAGTCTTTTCTGGCTAGAGGGAGAGTTGCTGCATTCTCCAGCACATCTGTCTCCTCATGGTGAAGGAGGTTTACCTTTCTGATCAGCAACAGGGGAAAGGCAGTGTGTTCACAGGGGAAAAGATCTGGCGTTGGATAGGTTAATAAAGGATGGAAAGTGGAAAAAGAAAATCTGTTTAGCATGAGATGTAATATAGGCACCTTAAACACATGGCACAGAGTCTTTGTTAAAAATCTGTTGGCCACCTTGGGTTCCAGCGTGTACATGGAAGGATGCTGGATTTGGGATGGCAAAGAAATTGAAAAAGATTGAATGTTTGTCTGTAAAGCTAGAGTATCTAGTTAACATTTGTAAGTGCTAAAAACTTTTTAAAGTGTGTTAAGCCTTCTACTTTGGGAAGAGCTAGTCTCTTGATCAGCTTAACCATCCCGGCTGCCTTGGATCAGGGGAAGACTGGCAGGATGCTGGGGGAGGAGTGGAAGAGCACAGGGTTTTGTGCTCGGCTGTGCCAGTCAGTGGTTTCTCTCACACTTCCTTGAAGCAGCTGGCACTGGCTGCAGCAGGAGGTGAGATGGATGGGTGGGCTTTGAGTCTGATCTGGGCCAGCAGTCTTGCTCGTTCCCCTTCTCAAATCAGTCATCCCCTTCTCGTTGCCAGCACGTGGAGGAAGGTGGCCCGGCGAACGAGGCGGGTCTGCGGGAAGGGGATCTGATAACCCACGTCAACGGGGAGCCAGTCCATGGGCTGGTGCACACGGAAGTGGTGGAGCTGATTCTGAAGGTAGGGAGCTCAGCACTGTCACATTTTGGAAAATTTGAGCCAACTTGTTTCATATGCCATAGGTAGGTAATTGGCATTATCTGAAATACAAGTGTGTACACAGCACCTGATGGTACTTAAGAGCAGCTTTGTAATGGCTGGTCTTAAAATTATCCAGGTAAATGACTTGTGTTTGATACCTCCTCTGAGCAGAATCCATTTACAGAGGAAAAACCCTGAAGTTCTGGACTATTCTAAGAGACAGAAGACTTTGGGATTGCAAATAGAGGAGCAATCAGGATTATTATTTTTTTTAAGATGAATGAGACAAGCCATGCTCTGTGTTGCAGATTCATCATGATAGATGCCTGATATGTTCACATCTGCCATCAGTCAGAGCACTGGGAATAGGATTGGTGACAGAATATCACTTTGTTCAAGTTTCCAAGTATTACAAGTATTAAATTGAGTCATTTGGGATCTCAATGGGAGAGGTCAGATGCTGTGTTCTGTCTGCCCTGGGAAGCTTTACCTACCAGCTGGGGTCTGAGCTAATCATTTGTGAAAGCCTGACTAACGAGGGCTCTCTCTCAGCAATTCCTTAATAAATGATAGGTGGAAATGCTGAGAGGAAAAATGGAGTTTGACAAAGGATTACAAAATGGCAGGCAGCACTGAACTAGCAGCCTACCTGCTTAGCCTGCAGATCTGCTTCAAATAACCACATTTTAAGCAATGTCTCTGTGTCTTGTATCTAACAGAGTGGAAATAAAGTGTCCATCTCCACCACACCATTTGAGAACACGTCCATCAAAGTTGGTCCAGCTCGAAAAGCCAGCTACAAATCCAAGATGGCTCGTAGGAACAAGAAGAGCAAAACAAAGGATGGTCAGGAAAGGTTTGTTTTGATATTTCTCTGTCAAAATGAAAGGGTAACCAAGATAATGTAAGAGGGATCTTCTCAAATCCATTTGCAGATAATGTGTATCAGCAGGGACATCCTTTAGTTTTTCTTTTGTTTATTTATTTTTTCTCTGTAACTGTGACATAAAATTGACTGAAATGTGCTAATAAAGGTAAATAAATCATTTGGGCTTGTAAACACCATTTGAATGCTCTTCCACAGTAAGAAGAAGAGTTCTCTGTTGAGGAAGATCACTAAACAAGCATCGTTACTTCACACCAGCCGGAGTTTATCGTCACTGAACCGGTCTCTGTCCTCTGGAGAAAGTGTGCCTGGCTCTCCCACTCACAACCTGTCTCCTCGCTCACCAACCCAGAGCTACAGATCCACTCCCGAGTCTGTACACTCAGGTAAAAAAAACAAAAACAAAAACAAACAAAACCAAAAAAATCTAGTCAAACAGAAAAAAAAAGCTTGGAGAAAACTTTTGCTGATTGATTAATTTTGGAAATAAAATACACAGCAGCAGGTAGTAGGTCTCTTTGTGAAGTAAATGACAGCTGTGATTTCGATTACCTTAAGGATGGATGTATTCTCGTTCATTGATTAATTTAAAAATGAAAATCCATACATCCTTTTAAGAATGCATTTGCTGTACTAGAGCATCCTTTCACTTTGATGCAAATGTGTATTGTAAGTTGCAATCTTTTCATATCAGTTTGACACATTTCCTATGTTCAGAGAAAAGAAATCAAAACAGCGTCGCAGAGTCATATTTGAAAATTGAATCAGCTGCTGGAATAAAGGGATTTACATCTGGAGAATAGCAATGAAACACGTGGTTTGTCTGCTCAAAGGTTTTTTTTTTTCAGAAAAGTGTTCTGATAGCTGAGTGTTTCTTACTCTGCTCTGGTGTTGGGGCCTAATAATGTGAATTTCCGTCAGAAACCTGGCAATGTTACCTTGCAATATTACCACTGGCCTTTGGAGTAACATGGCATTGTGCCTTGACTTTGCATATCTTACTTGCAATAACTTGTTTTAATGGTCAAATATATATTAATCGTCTAGTATTTTTTCATTTGTTCTTTGTTTTTTTTTCCTTTCTTTTAAGTTGGTGGCAATTCTTCCCAGAGCAGCTCTCCCAGTTCCAGTGTTCCCAATTCTCCAGCCAGCTCTGGGCACATCCGCCCTAGCTCTCTGCATGGACTAGCACCAAAGCTCCAAAGGCAGTACAGATCTCCAAGGCGTAAATCTGCAGGAAACATCCCTCTGTCACCACTGGCTCACACTCCATCACCAACCCCACAGTCCACATCACCGCAGCGCTCCCCGTCTCCTCTACCAGGACACTCAGTTGGCAGCTCCAGTATTATTCAGTCTTTCCCAGTAAAACTACACTCCTCTCCACCACTGGTGAGACAAATTTCTCGCCCCAAAAGCGCGGAGCCCCCTCGGTCTCCTTTGCTGAAGAGAGTGCAGTCAGCTGAGAAGCTGGCTGCCTCGCTGTCCTCCTCTGAGAAGAAGCTGGGCTCCTCACGTAAGCACAGCTTGGATATCTCTCACTCTGAATTTAAGAAGGAGATGTTACAGCGAGATCCCAGTCTCCAGAGCTTGCAGGAATCTGCCAATGAGACAACAGGTGGCAAACTTGGGCTTGCAGAGAAAGGGATGCTGCAGAAGCCGGGTTCACGGAAGTTGGGCGCCATCCGACAGGACAGGGTGGAGAGGAGGGAGTCTCTGCAAAAGCAGGAGGCCATCAGGGAAGTGGATTCTTCTGAAGATGAAACAGATGATGGTTCAGAAGATAGTCAGGATGGGAGAAGGCTGGACAAGCCCCGTGGCAGTGGAGACCAAGGCTCAGATTCTTTTAATGAGGATAATAAGTTCTCATCTAAACTGGAAAGCAAGGATAGTATTGAAGATGATGCTTTTCTACCTGAAGATCCAAAAGGTACGGAAGACTTGCAGAAGGGAAATACTCAACAGGCCAAGCCTGTTTCAGAGCCTCTGCAAGTCAGTGTGCAGCCTTCCCCATCAGAGCTCCTGTCAAGAACTTCTCCAGAAAAATTAGCTAATTCAGAAAAGCCATTCCTAAAATCAGAAACAACTGCAAAGGAACATAAATTGCCAGAAAACAAAACTTTTGACTGTTTTGGTCCAAAAGACAGGTCTTCTGAAGCAATCAAAGACTTAGGGAGAACTACAGGTACTCAAAAAACAGTAGATGGCACAGAACATGTATGGTGCCCGTCTATCAAACTCCTGGAACTTGAAGAAGGTGATTCTTCTGGGGCCTCCTGTGGTAAACTTGACCTGAAAGACCCTGTGCTAACAGAAAGCAGTCAGAAAAAACAGGATTCCAAACCTCTGCTGGCACTTTCCTCGTGGTGCCCAGCAAACACGAGCACTCCTGTCTCGGTGAGTCCCCCAGACCGCGGCGAGAAGGGTCACAAGGAGACGCTGCAACCTGCGGAACAGCACAGCACCTCATTCCTGTCTCCTGGAAGCGCCAGCGAAATGTCCCAAAGAAGTCCTGGTACTGAAAAGCAGCAGCCCAGCTCATCCCAGGCAGAGAGTACTTTGACCTCCAGGAAAACGAGCCCAGCGGGACCTGCATCCTCCACACTCCTCATCCCCGGCGCCATCGAACGCGCACTCTCCGTGTCTCAGTTGGTGCCCCTGGCTCAGAGCGTGTTAGGCCCGTTGAAGCTCAGTATGTCTGGTTCTGGAGAGGTGGAAAAGAGAAAGGATTTGGGTGCTTCCTGTAAAGAAGAGAGAGATTTGAAACAAAAAAGGCAGGAGATTTCACAAGTAGGAGAATGCCAAGAGAAAGCCAAACTATCTAGCACAGACGGTCTGACCACGAGGAGCGGGTCCTGCTCAGAGTCCTTACACTCAGCAAAGCCCTGGGAGGCAACGTGTCCTGTGGTGGCCAAAAAGGAGGCAACGTGTCCTGTGGTGGCCAAAAAGGAGGCAACGTGTCCTGTGGTGGTCAAAAAGGAGGCAACTTCTTGCGGTGCTAAAGCATCTGAAGCGTTGGCAGGTAGCTGCAAAATCACTCCATCGAAAGAGCTGTCTCATGCTCTTGGACAAGCAGCGCTGAAAGCCTCTCCTCTGCCAGATGGCAGCACGAGGCCCTGTAAAGAAGGGACTCTGGCACAGGCAAAAAGCAAAGAGGTTGGAAATCAGTTAAAAATACAAGACTTTCCCCTGTCACATGACGATGCTGTAAAGAAAACATAGCAGCATCGCTGGTACTCATGGACTGGAGCATTCTGCATTCAAGATAGAGACTGCATGTTTGAATTTTGTAATATACACTAATATAAAATAGAACTTGTGTACATCTATTTTTGGGAGGGTTTTTTTCATACTGTTTTTTGTGTTTTTTCATCCTTGCTATTCTATTTTTGTACACAGTAATGCTTGCTGTTTGAGGTCTCTTTAGAACAGGGTATCTTTAAAGCAGGGCTTAAGAAACAGTTTGTTTATTTTTATTTTTTTTTTCCCCTTCCAGACCTCCTATTTTGCCTGATTTTAAGACCTGGAGTGATCTTCCCTCTAATCCTGCATTTATTTGAGATCCTCAAAATTCTGAGTACAAAAAAGGCAGCTTGTTTTCAAATTTCTGCTTTTCAGCATTCTCTTTGAAATTCCATTGAAATTCAAAAATATCAAGTTTTTGCTTCAGTTTTACAATCTGATGTCCTTTGACAAGAATAAGAAACTGCTCTCTTGTCTACAAGTTACTCTGAAACTGCAGACCCTCTTTGGTGCAAGTATGACCTCTTTGTGTGTCTCCACGGTCCTGTGTCCTTAGAGGATATGGAGACGAGGAACTTGGCTGGAGAGGCTGGACAGAGGGAGAGATCCCTGTCTTCTCTTTAAAACAAGTAAGAGTATTTTTCAATGGAATTATCAGAAAGAGAAATCTCCAATCCATAAGCTGGCTTGTTGGGGGATTGTTTTTAGTTATCCTTTGTAGGACACATGGCAACTTTTCCCTCTGTTTTTAAAATTTTAGTGATGTTTTATCTTCCTTTCTCTGGCTTCAATTCATAACTTGCCCTGCCTTGGAGTAAGTGACCCCAGGAAAGGGGTGCCTGTAGATTGATTTTAAAGTAGAGAAATTTGTAGTCATGTGTTCTCCAGTGTGTCTCGGGGAAAGTTATCTCAATGATAAATGGCCTTTGGAGACTTTTCCTTCTCTTGGTGAGTCTAAGTAGGTAGGGATTTTAAGGTGTTCCTTAACATTTCTGAATTGGGGCTTGGGAAACTTGCTGGGTTTTCTGAATCTGCCCGTTTTAAAAACAATCGAACTCGTGAAGAGTTTGGACTCCTCAAGTTCTGTGGACAAGCTGCAAGCAGACTTCAAACCACATGTGATATTTTCAGATTTCAGCTTTGATAGCTAGATCATTGCCACTGCTGAGGTCGCTTTCCATTAGAAACTTACTCTTTGCTCTTAGGTTTAGACATGGCTTTGCTTTAAGTGTGACCGACTCTGGGTAACAGTGCTCCTTGCTGAGGATTAGGTCAATAATAATGCACCAATAAATGTGTTGAGTGGTGATACCTATAGCACTGTAAGCCATTTCTTCATCCAGTTAAAAGTTCCTCTCGATGAACACTCCCATCATTTGTCCCAGATTGTGCTCAGCTTGTATTCTAGTCTTGTCTGAGTGTATCTCCCTGCAGATCACCCACGAGGGGTAGTATCCTGCTCACTGGCTTACTCTGTTAGAAGCAGAATGACTGTGCAACAGTATTCCAAGCTAAAACCCACTCTGTTGATCTGATTTCCTTACGCTGCTGCTTCCTTCACTGTCTTGGCTTTTTCTGAACTTGAAGTTTTGATTCGTTTCCCCTAAATGCACATACGTTTTTATATAGGAATATATTTTCTCCATATCTCTCAACTTGATTTCAGTTTAATCCACAGCTCACAAAAAAAATCTCTGAAATCTCACCCTACTTCTTTCTGTGTAGCCGCTGCTTCCCTGCTTCCCCCCGTTATATATTTGATTTTGGCTGCTTGAATTTCATTTCTGGACCAAGGTTTGGTTTGATTTGGGCTTTTTTTCTTTAACATATTTAAATGAGTGTTTACTCCATGAGTCTGTGTGAACATGTATGGTGTTGCTACTACACTAACCAAAGCCTCGGTGCTCCCAGGTAACACGTTAATAAACTTTGCTGTGACGGTGTTGAGAGCAGAGCCTGCTGTGCTGTCTGTCTGCTCTTTTTCCTTGGAATTCATAGGCTGCTCATATACACTTGGTTTGCAATTATAAACCACAGTATTTCCACTGCCTGGTCAGGGTCTTGGGTGTCTCCATCCTCTCAAAGCGCTCTTGGTGGTGAGCATCATTCAGCAAGTTAAGAACAGACTTGGCAGGATCTGGTACTTACCTGGCTGGTTTTCTCCCTGATGAGTTGATCTACTAAAAAGTTGCTGAGAAACAGTGCAGGATGTTATGGCATGGACAGGAGTAGTGAAAAATGGATTTGGCATCCTGAGTCTGTGGTAATTATAAAGACAAGCCTCAGGCTGATCTCTGAGAGCACCTGACCTTGGCGAGATGGAAGTGTCTGTGTAAATTAAGGAGGGAGCTCAGAGCTGTGTGAGGACATGGTCCAACCTGGCTGTTCCCTGGGTAGCAGGTCCCCTGTTTCCTTCTGTGTTTAGAAAACCCAAGGGGAAAACCAACCACTGCTCCTAGGAGGTTAGCACGGGATGAGCCAGGCTGGGTAACCTGGCTCATCCCACACTGGCAGGGATGGGATGGTACCAGCTGTAAGCTGCTGACTCCCTGCCTTGGCAGCAAGTGCTTCCTTTCTTAGGCATAAAAAGAGGAGTGAAGCCCCTTGCTATGTCACAGCTCTTGCTGCTTTTGCCTATGTTGGCCAGAGAAGAGGTGAGGTGTGTGTTTCCTTGCCTCTTTTGTAGCTACGGTACAGGAAGTGAACAGTGCAATTAACAATCCCTGTCTTTTTGGAAGCGAAAACCAAACAGCATTGCCAGGAAAGCATCCTAGTGAAGCCCTGTATCCCCTACTCCTGGTCAGTCTTGTAGTTTCCCTCCATGTGCCAGGTGCCCCATCGTCCCAGTTCCACCTTCTGTCAAATTTATATGGCGCACCTAAGCAGAAAGTCTGGGAAAAAAGCCTTTTAAATTTTGATAATAAGCCAGGTAGATACGCCAAGACTTTACTCCTTGCTCTGCTACAAATTCCTTCAATGCCTTCTCAAATAAACTTGAAAAATGCATTGGGGAAGAACAAGATGTTGGAAGAGCTGTGTGTGAGGAGCGAGAGCGTGTTCCCAGCATCGACTCAGACCCGCAGTGTCCGAGGGAAGCTCTTGGCAAGCCCAGACTTCGGCCTCCGTAGGGAACCCTGAGTCAGGCAGGCGGAAGGTGGAAGTCACGAGCGTGAGGTGTGTGTTTGGTGAATGAGCCGTGCGTGTCACCATCCAAATATGCTGCTTTCCCGCTTTGTTTCCCTCTTCTGTCAGCTTGGATGTGTCTCCTGCTCCTCATCCATGTAGGGATGGCGGCATCTAAGCTGGTTCAGCCTCTGCAGCTCCTCTCTGCTCCTGCATCCAGCTGGCCCATCCCTGCCCCGTGCCTCATTTCAGTGTTATTTTTCCCTTTGTCTCTTACTGTTGCAAACTAAGAGAAATGGATGATATTTATTGTAAATATTAGACTTTAGCATTGTTCCGGCCACTCCTGGTCCGAATGTCAGAGGCCTTTGGCTGCTGCTGTACTAAAGAGCGCTTGTGGGGAAGGGGTAGGAGTGACCAGTGGGTTTGTTTGCCACACTTGCATTAAGGTGTGATTTGGAGTATTTTTTTTTTAAAATTTTTTTTTTTTTCTTTTTCTTCTGAAGAGGGGAGGATTAAGTCTTTCTCTGGTTTTATCTTACTGGATGTGAAGGATAATTCTGTACTTCTAGTAGAAGATTTGACAGAAGTGTGTGTTTACGTTGTGTTCGATTACCATATCCAGGTGGCTGTGAGAGCACCTCCTGCGCTGGGCTCTGCCAAGCCGTGTCACTCAGCACTTAGCTAGATAAGAGAAAGTGTGGAATTTCTGTGTTTTTAGAAACTTGAACAATTGCCACATAATAGCGGTGCAATAATTTTTATTCATGTTGTACCTGCATGTCGATGTTCAAATCCTCCTCCAAAATAAATAATTTTTTTTTTTTTTTACATAAATCCAAACTCGTGTCTGTCTCTTGTTTTGGTTTCCCCTCACTTTCCCTCAGTGCCAGGAGTGGCTGTGCCTCCAACTCGCCTCCTCAGCCAGCTGCTGGATGGGGCACAAAATGGCCTGTGGAACGTCTGGGTATTGCAGTAACTCTGCCAGGCTCTTTGGGATTTTCTGCTCCAAAGGCCAGGTGTGTGAGTAACCCACTCTGAAACTCAAGCCCAAAATTTACCATCCTCCACCAAGTCCATAAGTATATAGTTTGCTGTGTCCCTGATTCTCGGTTCTTATTAAAGGAGTAAAAACATGTAAGACATGAAATTTGGCTGAGCAAGATGATGTGACTGGCCACAACTAAATACCGCGGCTGAAGGGTGTAGGAATTGGGTGCACAATAAAATCCGAAGGGCAGGGGCTGCCAGCGGCACGGGTATGAGATTGGCTTGGATCAGCCAAATGGCATGAGGCAGCAGGTGCCCCTTTGTGCACCCACTTATTTAGGCTGCCCTCATGATGCACCTCCCAAAACCTTTCCAGAAACAGCCCTTTGCTTGTAACATTTGCAGGTGTGCCCTCTCCACGTGGAAAAGCCTTCAGAGGCTATTCCTGTCCTTGGAAATAGCGCTGGGGAGACATTCATGTCTGGGGGGCATTGGACTCATCCTCATTCGCCGCTGCCAAGGATGCTCAAAATATCCCATGTCTCCGTGCTCCGGAGGAGCTGCCGAGCAGAAATCGGGGGCGAGGCAGAGCTCCGTCCGCGGGAGATTTGCGGAGCCCCCGCCGGCAGCCGCTCGCCGCGTCGCTGGGCGTCATCGCTGACGCCGGCCCGGGGACGAGAGATGCTCCTGCCCACGCGGGGAGGGACCGCACGGCCCGCGGGGACGGGAGCGCTCTGAAAGGACACTGCTGCCTCTCCTGCAGCGTTGAACAAAACGGCCTGTCTGGCACGGCAAAGGCTCCCTGCCTCGGCCACCGTGCAGGGACCTGGCTTGGAGCAGGAGCTGGCTGTGCCCTGCAGCCCAAGTCCAGAGCATCATCTTCTCGGTCCTTCCTGTTGGGGCGAGCAGGGATGTGGCAGCAAGGGATTTTCAAATTACGTCTTCATGGAAACGTACTTTTTTTTCC